TACTCTACTCTACTCTACTCTACTCTACTCTACTCTACTCTACTCTATTCTATTCTATTCTATTCTATTCTATTCTATTCTATTCTATTCTATTCTATTCTATTCTATTCTATTCTATTCTATTCTATTCTATTCTATTCTATTCTATTCTATTCTATTCTAATGCTCTGAGCGGCACTGCAACTGTTATGGACAGACTTGTTGTTTACCACCAGGCGCACGACTTGTTCGCCCCGTCACGTGGTATCATAAAAAAAAGTAAGACAGATTTCCTGCTACGTGGTTATCATTTAATTAGCAATAATTAAACCGGCTTTACTAATTTACATGACAATGTGTCTGATTCTCAGAGCCAAAGATTATTATTTTTTATTTTACACTGTTTTCTGTTTATCACAGAGTAAGTTATAATACATAAAGTTTTTATATTTAACATATTTCGATCCAAGTTTCACAAAAAAATGGTCTTTGTATGGACATGAGAAGATGTAAAGTTCAAAATATTTGTTATAATTTCGAAACATTTGAAACATTCTAGAAAATCATTCGTAATATACATTTTTGTTTCTTTTCTAGGATAGTTCAACAGTTATCGTCGAGAACGGCGAAGAAATTGTAAAAGTGAACAAAATGATATCGAACGGAGTCAGTGGCAATAAATACATGGATGGTGAGTAAATAAATACTTTTTATTTCTACATTACTTAAATGAAGGTTCTCTACTGAAATTTTATTTTTCTTTTTCTACTTTAATTAAAACTTGTAACGTTTTAAAAAACGTTATTCTATTTTATACGTTGCTTATTTTACACGCGCTAACTATTCGATTAAAAACTAGGCAGAATAAGTCAATTAAATCTTATAATTTATCTTATACATTATGGAGACTTAAATAAAGCGTCGGTATTGGATTACGTGACTAAGTACATTATAATATAATATACATTTTAGATACATAACAGTTATGTACTTTTCATACAGATATCGGTAAATACATAAGTATAGTATTCTCGATTATAAACGACGGGTTAAGTTCAGAACCTGAGTAGCAGCATATGTATGATAAGAAAGCAGGCACACCATGACCAACCTACACGGTAAAAATTAAACGAAACAATGGTTAAGGAAAATAAAACCATTTATCAAAGAGGCCCTAATATAAAAATAATTCATTATTTTGGATTAGGGGTTTTGATATGAAAATATATAGTAGAGCTCTTTTGTAGTAGTTTTACTTTTATTTTATTTATTTTCTTGTTTTAAGAAAAAAGTATACATAAATATTGTAAAGCACCGTTAAACCCTCCCTGGGTTTGTCTCGATGCCATTCATTCCTTTTGCTACGAACGGATTAACACAAGATATAAAAAAAATAAAATCTTGAAAACTGTTGTGGAACTAATGTATAAAAACATTGAATAAAATAAACTAAATTATGTCGAGATAGTTTGTAATTCAGTAATTATATAATAATAAAGAAAATTGACCAATTACGGCTCTGGATATTATTTTCTAGATAGTATCAACCAAAGGTCATGAAGTTTGACTTGGTTGTTTCAAAATCAGTATTACACTTGCGTATCAGACTTGACCCCAAAAATGACGATAAAAGGTCTTTACAAACGGAACTTGATATCATTATATCAAGTTGGTTTATCAATTAAATGAATTGTAAGAAAGCATTTGACAGAAATATAAAATGAATCAGTAGTACCTACATAATGCTATCGTAGTTTGGTAATTTTCAGGTTAGATTTCGTTACCTAATTTGGGTGACAATTTTTATTATTTAAGTATTCGAGTATATTATCCTGAAATATTAAATAATATTTCAGGTTAATACACTCGAATATTATATAATACTTCATGATATTATTGTTGAATATTTAAAGAATAAAAATTGCCACATTGCATATATTAGGTATACAGAAAACTAACATGAAAATTACCCAGGTAGGTCCACTGGAAATAATTGTGTAGGTACGATTTGATTGTACGTTTTTTTATCTATGTTATAATTTCAGCGCTGTATGTTTAGAGAGGATGTAATTACCTTATTATTATACTAGATGATGGCAATTATTTGTAAACATGCAGTTTATCCCTTCTTAAACATCCTGGGTTACAATATCCTGAGTTGTGGGATATTTCACGTAGATTTCGAACGATTCCGTAAATAATACTAACAATACGTGTGCCCAAGGTGGCTGGTTATCTGTGTGTTCCACGGCGGTGTTCCACGGCGATGCCACACGTAGGGAAGGTACCTTAAATATCGTAGTAAGATATTTTACTTAAAGGAGACTTAATTTTGGCTTTAAAAACATTTCGAACTGCATTTAAAGATTTTTAAATAAGCGCCTGTCTGATCTGGGAATCGAATCCGCCAAATGTGGAAAAATTTGCTGCGCTCATAACAACTGACATTATCAGTTCAAAGTATTCTAATGAGTACAAACTTCACAAAGAGATTTCATTTCCCTTATAAGTGCATGATAAAATGCAATGCAATGCAATGTCAGTTGTTATGATTATGAGTGCGGCAAAGTCAGAGAAAAGGCTATTCATTTTCCTGAACAAAATTTCAAATTAATTTTTGTAAATTTCATGGTCTTCCTTTTATTCCAGGTGCTATATTATTTAAAAGAAAACAATCCTTATGATTTAGTCTATCAATAAGTATAGTAAAATTACGGATTGTTTTCACAGTACATTCATGTTGTTATACTTACTCAATTGTTTTCTCGATATTATTTCGAAACAATACTAGATTATTCTCGAAAACAATAATGAGAAAGTTCCTATGGTAATTTCTTTTGTATTTAAAAGGAAATTCCCTCGTAAAATAAATGTTTAATAAAGATACCCGTGCTCGAATTATTAATAGTTATATACTTATTTTTATTTTAAATAATAATTATTATCATGGTATTTGATTTTTTATACTTACATATAATTCTGACTGTTATTTCGCATATACTAAAAAGTAGTTAAATTCTTGATAGGGCCGGACCAGGTGGTCCCTTCAGATACTTACATATCCTGTGTACCTGGTGGTCATGTCAAATTACGGCAAACTTCAAGAGGATTGGCTTCGGAACCTCCTATATCAGTACCTGGTCTCTTAAAACGGACAGCCGCTAGATATCCTGATGGTCCCGCACTGGTTACAAAAAAAGCAGATGGAAAATGGCATTACACCACTTATAAGTAAGTAAAACATTTGCATTTTGTAAAATTGACATTTTAACGTAAGTATATTTTTTTTTGGCAATATTTTTAATTTTCTTTTATCTACTATACTTCCTACTTATTTTACAAAAATACTTGTGTGTTATGCGTCTTGTACACTTGTACGTTTCACTAACATTAGGGGTTAAATAATACTTATTATTTTACTAAATTACTTTTCGTTATTGTGAACTGAAATGGCACTGAAAAACATTTGTGTAAATACTGCTATGGTCTGTTATTTACTAAAAAAATTGAAATACATCCGTACAAAATATTCCTCTGTGAGAGCAGTGAAGACAATATTTAAATTTGTAGCTTTTAACGTATTTATTTACAAAATTCAGGATATATTTTAGAATTGTTTCACAACCACTATTAAAACGTGTATTACCTACAGTGTTTGCAAATGCACCATATAGCCTCTCAATGCGCGTATAAAAAGAAACTTTTAGACTCAACACGTTTATAAAAAGTCGCAAATCATGTAAAGTTTTTCTCATGATAACTTCATATCAGTATAGGAAATATTACTCTAAATAAATCATGTATTTTCCAGTTTATCGATATTTCTTTTTATTTACTTTTATTTTGTATGATTAGGAGTAATTTAGAAGTAATATGAAATAAAAATCAGATGATTAACAACTTTAGCTTTCATGTATTTAATATTTATTTCTCTGGGATACTTAAAATAGATACACTGTTCTGTGTTGTAATGTTTAATGTGTCATAAAGAATATTTCGTTCGTTAATTGATTTAACTGTTTTATTTTTGAGCTACAGCTGCATATATGTAATAAATCATTGTAAAATGTATTAAATAAATAAAAAATACTTGACTATACGAACTTTGATCAGTCTTTCCACGTCTGAGTTCATTGTTTTATACTTCTTACAATCGCTAGGTCGGTAAGATGTCTAACATCGCCAGGAAATGGTGTGAAGCAACTACAATCAAAGTGTTGCATCTGTTACACTCCAGCTACTTTATTTTGCAACGTCCGTTCATAGTCATTTAATCCCACTTTTACGATACTAAGACTGTGTAACATCAAATTCAATATTTTTTTTATTTTCGATTTATAAGGGATATAATTTTCTTAGTTCAAACATAGTACTACGAAACTGTATAAACTTAAGTACCTATACAGTTTGACTTGTTCATATAAAAGTTTTTTTTTTAAACTCCTTGGAATCAAAAGACTGGCACCACGGGATTTATCGAAATACCAACAAAATAAGAAAACTGAGTCTTATGTCAAAAATAAATTAAGATAATTGCCCTTCTTGCACGCATAGTTCTAAGATTTACACAATTTTGTAAAAAGTATGTTTTCCAAAAAAATCAGCAAACACAGCAAGACCAATACTTATCGTTTGCGAAGTTAGTATAAAAAAGTGCTTATATGTATACATAGAAGAAGACATAGCTTTGGTTTGTAACTAAGGCAAACACAACAAGATCAGAGATGAAGGTTACCAAGGGTACCTACTTTCAAAAGTTGCCACATGAAACATTCATCAAATCATTAATAATGTTATGTGTAAGAACATTCTTTTTCATGTAAAGACTAGGTAATGAAGTTTAATAGGAAATATTTTTTGAAGAAACGCACAAGTCGTACGCCTGATAGTAAGAGACACGTCTGTCCGTAACAGTTCCAGTGGCAGAGCTTAAAAATCTCAAATATCTGAGAGGCTCTACCATTGCGTCCGTCACCGTGAGACATAAGTTGAACAGTCCCATGTGCCTTTAACGATTTTAACGACCTCGGTGGCCCAACCGTTTTATGAGCGCTGGATGAGAAGGTCCCAGGTTCGATACCCGGTAAGAACAATTGAGGAATGGTGTTAGTGTGGAGTGAATTCCGTATCTGTGATACGCATAATACAAGGAATTCCCTAATTTGAGACCAAGTAATTGGTGGAAATATAAAAAAAAACTAGTTATGGTCACTATATATAATGTGATTATAATACAAAGACCGAACACTCAAAAAAAATTCCTTCGATCCGGCCGGATTCGAACCGACGTCTTCTAGCAAACCGTGCCAGACACTATACCAACTAAGCTACCTCCTGCCTCCGTGGCCGAACGGTTGCCAGACTGCCACGCAGAGGTCCCAGGTTCGATTCCCGGGCCGGGAGAAATAGTTGTATGGCCTCATTGACGTACAATTATATGGACGTCGGGTCCGCGCTAAAAAGTGTCCGCACTTGTAAGGCGCTAAAATCGTATACAGAGCGCGACACTCCGCTTTAGTCTTCATTTGTTCTAAGGACAGCGCGATACTGCGATGACATTACAATTTAAATTTCTAATAGGTTGACTTGGGACATTTTTTTCGTGGTTTTTGTATTAGACCCGTCGTCCATTTATTTGTAAGTCAATGTATGGCCTACAATTATTTCTCTCGTGAGTTTGGGTGTAATTTGTGGTTGTCTATGTGTGTGTCCATGGCACCCGCGACACAGGGTTTTCCCTAGTGCGGGGCTATGTTGAGTGTGTGCGTTATTTATTTATATTTATTTATTTATTAAGCTACGGAACGAACCGGCGGACCTCACGAATTTTTCTATGTGCTTGTTGTCGTGTCTTTGTGTTTGATTTTTCAACGACTTTTTAGTCGTAGCGTCATCTATGAAAGTTTTATCACCCAGTTAGATACCTTTACATCTACCGACCCTGGCGAAAGATGTCGCTATTCACTATATTTTAAATTTTTATTGAGTTGATACTCAATTATTTTTTGTGAAATCGAATCCGGCCGGATCGAAGGATTTGTTCTAAGTGTTCGATCTTTGTATTAATAATTATAACAAACTAGTGGAGTAATTTCACAAAAAATAATTGAATATCAATTCAATAAAACATGAATATATATATAATGTGGTTACATATTTTTTTGCGCAATACATTTCAATGTCAATAAGGGCTTAATGTTATCTAGATACCTATGTAATCGAATATCTTACCGTGACAATCCCACAGTGTCACATTTTTCTGTTGTAAGTATTCAACAATATTTTGTAATTCTGATTCCATCTTTGTGACCTCAGGATAGCGGCACTTCCAAAGAGTCGTTATCTAATCCCATCACAAATTTACATACAGCAAAATACACGTTTCTAAAAGGTCTAGGTAAGCATTTGGAGACATTCCATTTAGCTCTCATAAGAAGAAAAGAATGAGTAAAAATGTAAACAAATTCATTACACGTGCTCGTGCGTTCAGTGCATCAGTAAATTGTTTCTTACACAATATACACCCGATAATAACATGTTTACATCAAGTTGATTAGGCCATTGTTTGCTTTAACTAGTACTTCAAGTCCACTTGTAAACTATTATTTTCTTCATTAACTTAATGAACAATCATATAATAGTAGGTATATATCTTGTTTTATATATATAAAATATAATTTGCTGCTTTGCTTTTTTATTCTGCTATATGAATTTTTGGATAAGTAAATCTTCTCTTCTTTTCTCTTAACTTTTTTACAAATTTTGTTTCTAAAAGTATTATTAAATATTTACCTACATATATTCAAATACTGATGAAAATATTTTTTTATTTTTCTTGTCGAGATGAGATTAACGTCTTTAAGTTTGTCTACGTGTGGCGCACTGTAAGTTTCCGGAATGAATAAGAAAAAAATACTATAAATGGTCAGAAATGAATTTATTGTTTCTCAAAATATTCTCCATTAGCGTTAATGCACTTTTTCATACGAATGAACCAATTTTGAAAACATTTATGCCACTCCTCCGTCACAATCTCTGAAACATATTTTTCATACTCTTCGACAGCCTCTTCAGGTGACGAAAATCGTTGACCGCGTAACTGGTTCTTAATTTTTGGAAATAAATAAAAGTCACAAGGTGCCAGGTCGGGACTGTACGCGGGATGACTCATAAGGTCAACGTTGTTCACCTTCAAAAATTCATTTGTCTGTCTGGCCGTGTGAGAACTGGCATTATCGTGGTGCAAGATGATACGGCGTTTACGGTTATTTTTACGGAGTTTGTCAGTAACTTCCGGCAAACAAATGGTCGTGTACCTATCACTATTCACGGTACAACGATTCTCCAAAGCATCAGTAGTCACGTGTTCAGTTTTATTAAAAAAAGAAGCAATCATCCGCTTAGAGGCACTTTGCACGCGCGCCACTTTGGTTGGTTTCGGCCTATCTCATAAGACCCATACGCTCGATTGCTGCTTTATTTTGGGATTATAACTATAAATCCATGTTTCGTCACCTGTTACTATGTCCCACACCTTACAATTTGACGCCCCTTCGTTGAATCTGATAAGCATGGCATTGCACCGAGTGACGCGATCCGTTTTTTGAGCCTCCGTCAAATTGTGTGGGATCTATCGAGACCACAGCTTTTTCACACCCAGATGTTTGTGTAGCACTGATTGTATTTGACTCATGCCTGTGCCTAAAGATGCCCGAATCTCATGATATATCACATGTTCTGTTTTGATCATACGGCACACAGCATCGATGTTTTTGTTATTCAGAGCAGTGTACGGGCGACCATCACGAAATTCGTCACTGAGATTCACATGACCGCGTTTGATTTCTGCAAACCAGCTATAAATAGTCGCCTTGTATGGTGCTTCATCACCAAAAGCAGTTTGAAGCAGAGCAAAGCTCCGCTGAGCTGTTAAATTACACTTAACAAAATCATACTACGAAAATTTTCACGAGTTAAATCCATGGTGATGTAGACAACCAATTTCTAAAATGACGCCACAATGTAAAAACAAGTGACAGTCAGATGTAACAAACCGTATTCTATAGCTAACTAGGTCCATTTTCAAATGTTGTAATTACTTTTTAAATATTGTTTATGTATGTGGCCAGTTCGGGGAACTTATAGTGCGCCCTATGTACAAGTATTTGAGTGCTGGTAGGTTGTTCAAGTTGGTGTCACGGGACTACCTCAACTGATACAGTTGAACCAATGACTTGGTCTTTAGTACCAAATGTTACTATTTATGGTTTGTTTAGTACTATGGTACCTATACTAAAAAAGGACCACACTTTCAGGCAATACCAAGAGCGAGTCCGGACCGTGGCCAAGGGATTTCTGAAACTGGGTCTGGAGCGATACCACTCCGTCTGTATTCTCGGCTTCAACTCAGAAGAGTGGTACTTGGCTGATTTGGGTGTTATTCATGCTGGGTGAGTTGTTTATTTTTTCAATATAGTCCAGAAAATTAAATCATAGAATCGGCACTTTATCTGCAGGCAGAACAGATTGCACATTTAAGTTACGCGTTTTGTGTAGATGTCAAGCCTAGAGACCATATTGTATAATAGAATACTCGACATTGTAATTTTGTTTAGTTGAATAGCAGTGACAATGATAATTTAGTAATAAAACAATTGGTTTCTATTAAAATTCGTAACTAATTTTCTTACATAATTAAAATCATTCTGAGATGGGTTAGAACTATTATGACGTCAAGTTCATTTGTGACTGCTACCTGCCGTGTTATTAGATGGTTATTAGCCCTACTATTATAACACCATTTGAATTTTGATGTATTTTTGCGTCATATTAAAAGCATTTATTTTCTGCTGTACGTAATGGTTCCAAATGACAGGGCTAAGATTTAATAAAAGTAACTAGCAAAATTGGCGAACCTAGCAAGTTTTTCTTATTTACAAAGCGGACTTTGCCTAAGTTTAAGCAAGAAATTAGATTAACCTTTTAGTTACTTCATGATTTATTGGTTAAACTTCATCAAAGATCGTTTTATAAATACAAAAAACTGCTTATCTCGGCATTTTTGCTTAATCGAAATCAAAGTAATTTTTTATTTAATCTCTACCTAAGAATGAAATGCGCACATTTGCCGCAGCAATAATATTTGTACAATTAACGATCATATCATATCATAATTGAAAACTGCACGTTTTTGCTCTTAATGTAAGGTATTTCTGGTGAGTATAATTAAATTGTTAATGATTCACTCGTAAACGTTTTTGTTCTACTAATTCCGAACAGCTGTTATGTCATTTATCACTAAATATGATTTTTTCGATATTTGATTCGAAGCGTAAGCTATCAGTATTAGGAATGATACCGATCAAAGATTACTGATTACATTACTAATTACCAATTAGCCATGGCTATATGACTGACTAAGGGTCGTATTCTAGAACTCTACTCAATGCTTAAGTCAGGACTTGAGTATGATTCAAAGCACTAGAAATCATACTCAAGTCCCTGCCATCAAGGTCGTATTTCCAGTGCTTGTGTTTCCATTGCAATCCTGACTTGAGCATTGAGTAGAGTTCTAGAATACGAGCCTAAGAGCCGTTACATAGGCGCGACTGCATCGAGGCAGTCGCTTATATTGAATCATGTGCGAAAAATCTGTTTAATCATATTGTTTTGTTTTGTTAATTGTAAATTTAAAAGTGAAATCAATAAATTAATTAAAAAGATGCATCGCGTTTGCATTGCAATTATATCCTTGCTTAAGTCGCGCGTGTTTGTAAAGGTAGACTATTAGCGGCTGCATCACGACTGAATCGCTACAGACGAGTTGCTGGGAATCGCCGTGTGTAACCGCTCTAACAAAACAATAGTGTAAAGTCAGTATGAGGAAAATGTAAAAGAAACTGCATCCCCAAAATATTATAGTAACTCACGTACCTATGTCATAATATTATGTGAGTAGGTATCTAATTACCTCAATCATTGAAGAAACATCATTCAATAAATAAGTGAATTACACACTTAATTCGCAATATGTCAGGATATAGGAACAGTCGATTCTAAGCGTAGGTAGTAAATCATCGTATTGATAAAGAAAAGGATGGCTTATGAAAATGAAACATTACATGGTTTAAGAAAATGATTAATCATTAGTTTTATGATACAATTGACGTCAGTAAACGTTCGTACTTACATGTTAAAGATTATGAGTAAGTCAATGTATCCGGATGTTCTCGTGCATTCGGGGTTAAATTACATTTTTGTACTGTGGATTCAATTTCCGCATTCAAAAACCAGACAAGTTCTGTAAATATGTACGTGTATTAAAACAACAATGTATTATTATTCTGAAGTAATATTATTTTTAGAAAGCCGTGGTAGCCTAATAGATTGACCTACCGTCTTTCAAGCAGAGGCCGTGGGTTCGAATCCAGGACGTACCTCGAAATATTATGTGCGAAATTTAATGTCAAATATACCATACCAACTGCCTCAGTCGCCAAACGGTTACCATGCCGGACTGTCACGTAGAGGTCCCAGGTTCGATTCCCGGGCCGGGAGAAATATTTGTATGGCCTACATTTATTTCTCTCGTGGGTTTGGGTGTCATGTGGTTGTGTATGTGTGTGTCCATGGCACCCGCGACATAGGGTTTCCCTAGTGTGGGGATATATGGAGTGAGTGCGTTATTATTATTTATAATTATTACCATGAGCTTTTCTGAGAATGAAAACGTCGTGACGAAATCTGCACGTCGAAGAAGATTTCAGCCCTCGGAAAACGTGTGAAGTTCCCAAACCGCATTGACCCTCCCTGAGACAAACCCTGGCCTGAGAGGAGACCCGTGCCCGCAATGGGTCGTATGAATGGGTGGATGATGATGATTATAACTTTACTATATTTCTGTTTTCTCAGAGGTTACGCTGCAGGCATTTACACAACTAACTCAGCTGAAGCCTGTTACCACTGCCTGGAATCTTCAAGGGCGAACATTTGCGCTGTGCAGGATAAGAAGCAGTTGGAAAAGATACTGTCGGTTCGCAGTCGCCTCAAGCACTTGAAGGCAATCGTACAATGGGAGGAACCCGTAGATACTTCAGTGCCTGGTGTTTATAGTGTAAGTATTTTTGAATTTGATGACTTTATATTGATTGGTTTATATTGATAGACAACCCCTAAGAGCAACGAAGAATGGTGTATTAGCAGGTACGGTAATTTACATACAGCGTTCTATATAGCGTCCTTGTCATAACTAAAGCATTTGCATTTCGGTAACTTTCGAGATATTGGCACCTAAAGTACTAATAATTTTCTTCTAATGTTATTTAAACCTAATTTAACAACAGTTAATTTTCATTATTGATTTTATTGCGCTTTATTTTGTAAATTGTTTAAGTACATGTATCATTTTGTCTTAGGGCGCGTTCCCATTATGTCGTAACGTTGTATTTATCATTGGACGACTGCCCCATCTAGCCTGTTCCCATATCACGACTATCTGTCGTGACTGTACCGTGGACGTTTATTTTATCATTGAACGACTATTGTATCTAGCTGTTCCTAACTAGATCGTGACGACAACATCATTCATTTGTCATTTGCACGACATAATTGTTTGAAGCTGCGATTAACTGTCGCCACATTTTTTTCTTAACTCGTAGCTCTTCCCACAGTCAACAACAGTCTGTCATCGTAACGTCAAGGACGTCGTGGACAACAGTTTTATGTGAACAACTACATTTGAATATACAAGACACGACATTTTAAACTGCACGACTATCTGTCGTCACGACATAATGGGAACGAGCCCTTATGCCTATCTTTCTTACATATGTTCAAAGGTGGAAGGGTAAGAGCCTGGTGCTCTATTACACAAGTTAATCCTAGTATGGGGTACCTATCAGGAGTCCGGAATGACATTTTCCAGAAATAATGTTTGCGCGAATTGTCATAACCTCGAAAGTAATTTTGAGAGGAAAATGTTTTTTCTTTTAAACCTAACTTAACCTATCCTAACCGAACCTAATCGTGTCTTTGCGATAAACACCCAACAAATCCTGAAAGAACAACGGTTTTGTTATAATTCGGTTTTCGTAGTGTAATGGAAATTCGATAAACGTTATTTAGGAAAAAAAATCGAGTTTGTGATAGGTTACCCCTAGTATGGACAGACTTTCACAAATGAAACTATATCAGAGAACAAAAAGTAAAGAGAACGGACACTCTCCGCCCTCCCTAGTTTTAGATACCGCGCCGCGCCCCGCACATTGTCGGTCACTTTGACTGAACAACAACAAGGCTGCCGGCGAGCCGTTTTCACGCGAAAAAAAACTTGTACGTTAATATAAGACATTATTTTACGTTACTATTTATAATGGTCGTGAATAGTGCCGTGTACGGCTGTTTATCATCATTTTCCGAAAAATGAAACGAAGTAGGTAAGTAAAAAAACTTATGTCTGAGGCTCATTCAATTATTGTATTCTTCATTTATTTACTGCAGAGTAATATATGTATGCATGAAAAATACACATTTATTATATCAATATAATGAGGCGCCATGACTTCGTGAGCTAGCTAGTAGAATAGGGTTCTCGAATTTTCAAGCAATAGACGTAGCGAATATACCTAATTATGAACTAAGTAATGATGATCAACTTGGACACGCAATTTCAAATACCTTGGTTAAAAGTTTGTACATGTCCAAAATATAACATTTTAAGTGCTTTTAATATATTTTTTAAATAATACTTCAATATTACTCTAGTTAGTGAGTTAATGAAAAATATGATATTATATCGATAAAAATACATAATAGACGTGTGTAATTATTAGGATTCTGGATTCTATTAATAGAATCATAGATAATAGATTCGCGTTAGCATTTTCGCTATGTCATCACGTACCGTAATAGTGCAAGAAAGTGATGGGTAACCCTGCCACTTCACACACACATTTGCGCATGTGCAGATAGCGACTTGCTGTATGTAGTAGTAGTAGGTAAATGATTTTCGACTGTTGTATGGAGTGTCCGGGGTGTGACTATATTCAATAACATGAGAGAATCATTGTCAACGACACTGACCTATAAGGTCAATGGTCAGAGATAATAAACACATTTTCAAAGAAAGTTTTATTGTCACCTAAAAAAATGTTATTTTAGCTATTTCGCTAATTTTGCTTAACAATAAAACTGACACTAAATAACATGTTAAAAAACCTATTAGAGGGGGTAGTAGATCATAGTCGGTCGTTTCGCTAACCCCAGAAATGTTAATAACTCGATTTCGCTAAAAATTACGATTAGGTACGTTAGTTACGAAAACATGGGAAGAATATGAAAAGGTTGTAAACCGCCAATAGGGAGCAATAATAATAGATTACTCAGTCCACATGAATTTATTGTATAAAGTAAAGGTGAGGAAAGCAAGAAAGGCCGTGATAATAAAAATAGTATAAAAAACATGTATAATATTAAAAAACACTCCCTACTTAAATACTACGAAACATGTGATACAGTAAAGAATTTAGGTTACATGATTTAAATCGTAAACTGGTAAACTGATCAAAATTAGTGGTGAAGATGAACAACGCTTCAGACATTAAGTACAGAGTGACGACGAAAGGAAACAAATTGAGAAAGAAAAGGAATTAAAGAACGATTCAAAATTTGATAATCTCAGTACAGAGTACTAAAAAAACCGACCTCAAAAGTACGAGGAATTACGTCTATTTGCTAAGTTTTATTGATATATCCCCTAGTTCGCTACTATACAGGACTTGACACTGGAGATAATAAAAATCGGTTCTCACTACTCAAAGTATATTGAGAGAAAACGCCTGGAATTGGAGAAATAGCAAAATCAATCATTAAAGTAATTGCTCCTAAATTAAAATTAGGCGCTATTTATAAAAATGAATCTTCATACGTGAACAGCCACCCTTCGAGGTGGATGATTTTCTTCAAAAAGAAATGGGACCACTATGGAAGTACCCCCTTTCCAAGAAAAAAAAGAATCGCGAAAATCGGTTCATAAATACCGGAGTTATCGCGTAACATACATACAAAAAAAAGAAAAAAGAACATACAGTCGAATTGAGAACCTTCTCCTTTTTTGAAGTCGGTTAAGAATAAGCTGAATAATAAACCAGAGATAGGTGATAAAAAGGCGGGGTGACGATGGAGGAAGTCGCATCATTTTATGGAAATATAGTCAAAGCATCGACATAATTGCGCTAGAACACGAATAATTGCAACTTCTCGAGGAAATAAACACTTAATGAGTCAAGTTAATTCAATAGTAGTGAAGACAAGAAATAGGACGTATAAGATTGTCACACAAGCGAGAACAAAAAATAATAGACCATACAAACGAGACCCCGAACCATGTCCGTGAACTTTAGTACGCGTAATTACGTTCCGTTATCACGCGGATAACATCGATACTTAGAGCTATAAAAAAGATGTAAAAGTAAATTCCATTAAAAATAAGTTACTTATGTAGTTTGGTAAAATTTTCAAAATGTATGCGAGTAGATAAGCGATATTCTGTTATTTACCAAAAATATGTGGAGGTTAATTCTCATAGGGAAAATGGCGACTTATATATTTTCACATAATTGACGAGTTTCAGAATTGACCAGATCCCCTAATTCATACGTTCGGCTGTATGTTTCAGATTTCTCCGTCAATTGTAGACCGATTTTGAAAATTCTTTTTTTGTTTGAAAGGGTATTCTCTCGAGGTGGTCCCTGATGCCAACGATGCTGAGCCGGGTTCGATTCGGCTACCATAAATTAAACAAATATTTTCCGCAAAAGTCTACTTTTTACTTGACACAATCAACAAATCACCGTCACCGTGACAACCAGAAAAAAAGTATAAAATGTACAAAAGAGTCCGTAACAGTCCCTTTGTCACTAAGAAGTCATAAAGGGATCCCATGGAAATCAGAAAAGTCGATAAGCAAACTTTTGAGATCGGTTTTTTTTATTTTCAATGAAATGGTTACAATTCTAGATAGTAATTTCCATAAGTCCTTGTTGAAAATGTGAATTTGTGAAAATGTTTTTATCGTTGATGTCAATACTTTAGCATTTTAGCCCTTTAGGTATAAAAATGCAGGGCGGCTCGAATTATGTGTCCAGGAGCGTATTTTCTGTGTTTTGTAATCTTTGTAGTTTAGCTTTGCGCCCTTTCTTCCTCGAAGAATAAGTAGACTCACATTTCCTTATTGATACGCCTTCAATTAATAAAACTAATAAAAAAATATTTTGGGAAATAATCATAGTACCTAAAATCATAGATAAAATTTACAGACAGTATATGATTGCAATGAGATAGTTGTACTCGTTATGATTTCATGCTTTTATCAATCATTGAAATTGATTATAAGTATTCATTTCTGGTTATTAGTGACTTTAAATTAAAAAGGAACTACTCGTGAATACCATTAGTGAAATTCCATGTTTAATTTTTCATCATACTGATGATTCATTTGTTTATTATCAAGTGATCTGATATTTTATTTGTAAGTCAATGACTATTATTACGTAGTATAATATCCCATTGGATATTATACTACGTAAGCGCACAAGCCTCTTTTATACCTTTTTACTTCTAAATTAGTCAAAAAAGGATGAAAACACTGCAAAACCTTCCACAATTAATGCAGTTTAATTGGTCAGCTTAACGGTTTTTTTAATGTTTTTATCTACATAGGGAAAGAGAGAGTCGTACGGTCTCACGCCCTCAATGTCGTGCTTATATTAGATCCTAATTAATAAAGATGTGGATCTCTATTAACTTAATTAAGAGATCGTAGTCGGTCGTTTCGCTAACCCCAGAAATGTTAATAGCTCGATTTCGCTAAAAATTACGATTAGGTACGTTAGTTACGAAAACATGGGAAGAATATGAAAAGGTTGTAAACCCCCACTAGGGAGCAATAATAATAGATTACTCAGTCCACATGAATTTATTGTATAAAGTAAAGGTGAGGAAAGCAAGAAAGGCCGTAATAATAAAAATAGTATAAAAAACATGTATAATATTAAAAAACACTCCCTACTTAAATACTACGAAACATGTGATACAGTAAAGAATTTAGGTTACATGATTTAAATCGTAAACTGGTAGACTGATCAAAATTAGTGGTGAAGATGAGCAACGCTTCAGACATTAAGTACAGAGTGACGACGGAAGGAAACAAATTGAGAAAGAAAAAGACTATTATGTAGGCTATTATTTATTTGTTTTTCAAACTATAGACGCAAAACTGGTAATTTTTTTTTGTGATAGATTGGACTACGTAATATATTATAGCGTACAAATTATCGCATGAGTGCCAACATAAAAGTAAAAACTGCCTCAAAACGCCGCAAGGTAGATTACTTTGTTTTCTTTATTATTTACTAGGCCTTTAACGTTGTAACTACTCGTACACGGTGGTTATGCCTCATATGGAATCTCAAATTGCATGGTCAGTTAGGGATATTTTTGGGTTTAACGCAATAGGTGCTTCGTGCCGCATGTGTGCTGTACTGAGTCCTCGTGCGGCATACATGCTGTGACCGAGTCCACTCAAATTCAGCGTCGTAGCACTTTCAGTGAGACGACATTAAGCTGAGTGGATGACAGATTCCGTAATAGCACAGCGCACACGCTATTATTCCAATTTTAGTACTTAGTTTATTTATATAGGTAATAACTCGAATCAATAATTAATAAATCTTGTTTAATTATATTGTATTATGCGTCAAATCATAATAATGTGTGTGTACTGTGCTGTAAATTATTACCTTTACTATATTACTTCTTCATTCTTAACTTACGTAAGTATAAATCCTTTTGACTATTTTCGCAACGGTTTCGCAAAACAATTATATATATATATATATATATATATATATATATATATATATATCTATTACGAGAGATTGGTGTCTTCAATTCCAAAATAGTCTTGCGGCCCTAACTAACAGATGGATAACGTCTTCTTTTATAGTAAACGCAGAGGGTTGAATCATTTGGAATTCATTCTGCTAACACCTTCATAATATAGAATCTGAATACAAAAAATCGATTTGACTGAAGAGATAACGTAAAATTGTTTCAGTGGGCACAACTTATGGAGATGGGCGCGGCGGAACCAGACACACAATTGGACGATATACTCAAGTCAATTTCTGTCAACGAGTGCTGCACTTTAGTATACACGGTAAGCATCCACAATAACTTGTTTGTAAATAAAACAACGTCTTTGTAATGGCTTTATCAAGAACTGAAAGAGAACTTAGTTATTTACCGATGGTAGAGTCAACAATATGGGACTTTTTTACCGAAATATGTAGCAGTAGAGCTCCTTGTGAAAGAGTTCATCCAGGGAAGTATAGCCACTTTACCCGCTTCTGCCACCAAGCAGTAATATAAACATTATTGCGGTCCGGTTTTGAAGGGTGTTGGTGAAATTATATGCATATGGGACTTACTCAACTTATATCCAAAGGTGACGGGCGCAACGGCAGTGCCTCTCAGATCTTTGCGATTTAAAACTCTGAGTGGCACTGTAATTATTTTAATATTTTCTTAAATTTATAGTTTAACGGTGTTTGAAATTACAAAACTTCAATGTACATCGAACGCACACACGCACGCGTCAGATGTTATCACAAGCCGCCGGACGAGATTACACGCGAACGAGCATTTCTTGTCTTTTTACACCCGTATAAGAATTGTCCACATACGATGCGATATAAAATCAGGAAATAAGTAATATCAATAGCACTATATCTGAGCCCGGATCAGAAATGAACTAACACCAGTACGTACAGTCATGAACATATCATGCGTGACACTTTGGACTTTGGGTCATACATAACGTTTCTCGTAACCGACAAAGAGTTGAATATTAAGTTTCAAGGTTGATGTGTTCTTGACCTTGTATACATTTCTATTAAAAAATCAACATTTGTATATGATTTAAACATACTGCGGACGTTTCTAGAAACCCGTGAGAAATCAACACAGTGGCTGCACCTACACGTGAACAATCTGTTAAATTCTTTATTGAAAATAATTTATATTATTTAAATTTACAATTTCTTAAGAGTGACAATTTGTATATCTTAAAGATCTTCACCCTTAGAGTGAGGTGTGCTGAGTATATAGTCAACTGTACAGGTAATTTTGAGGTTTAATTATAATAATAATAATAATAACGCATACACTCATAGCCCCGCACTACGGAAACCATGTATCACGGGTACTATGGACACATGTCTATGTGTCCATAGCATCTGTGTTATTTGTGGTTGTCTAACCACAAATTACATCCAAACACAGGAGAGAAATAAATATAGGCCATACAAATATTTCTCCATGTCTGGGAATCGAACCTGGGACCTCTGCGTGGCAGTCCGGCACGGTAACCGTTCGGCCACGGAGGCGGTTATTAGGTTGCCGTAAATTTATAGATTTATTTTAATCAAATATTTATATATTTATAACACATTAAGCGCTCAGATCATTTCGAAAACCATGTCTTGGTACCAAGAGGATCGAGTTCGAACTTTTCTTTGCATGATGGTTATTACATAAAATATCTTTTGTCTGTTTCAGTCCGGTACAGTAGGTCCGCCAAAGGCTGTGATGTTATCACACGATAACCTGACGTGGGATGCTTTCGTGATCGGCGAGCAAGTAGGCGACGTCAAGCCAACAGTCGACAAAATCATCACTTTTTTGCCACTTAGCCACGTTGCAGCTCAGGTACACACACTGTACTATTAATTATTGGACTTTATATTTCTATATAAAGTTTTGCGTTTGTACGTAGACTGTCCACAACTGCTAGCTAAATTTAACTTCAAAATTCCCTCAAGATAGCCTAGGTTTGTTATTACTCCTTTAGTGCCACCATTCCGTAGTGCCACCAGACCTTTCGGAGCTTTAATTCCTGTGTCCCAAGGCTTTGCAGACTATATAATAAGAACAGTCACGTTAGCGATAATAAATATGTATTTTGGCAGTCGCTGCACAAATTTCGTAATAGTACCTATTTTAATAAACCTTATGTTTTCCCCCATCTAGTTTCAAACTGTCCGAGACGATACCCTTTTCACTTGTATTTATTGTGTTTGTGTGTACCTATTACTTCTGTTAATAACTTAAGGTGTTGTTTTTAAATTCAACTTAATTTACATTAACGATGTATTTGCAAGCTGTGTTCACTCATAAGTAGTTGTGCAATTTAGATAAAATCTTAATAATAATTTTTACTATGTTACATTGTAATAACGGTAAGTGAACCAATAAACTAAAAAAAATGGTGCTTCAAACCCGGTAAGCAGGTGCTGTGACACAACCTCACGTAGAGTACCTTCGTAGTCAACATTACCTATATCTGGTTGTCGCATGACAGCATCACCGCTTTACGTGAAGAGCGTTAATGCTGTAACCTGATGAAAGCTATGTTCGCGCCCAAGTTGTCATGCTCACGTCAAAAGAATCAACTCGTTTTTGTCACTTAGCCGGAAAAGTTTGGAAATCAAATTTTTTTTTCCATCCTCTAAGGATCAAATTAAACTCAGACTTTACGAGGTTAGTTTTAAAGACAGAAGACGGTGTACAACGAGAGCGTTGTGGCATAATAGAATAATGGTTGTGGTGTCAAAGACAATGTTGTATGGTGAGATCATGTAGAATGTTACCTACCTTTAGAGGTAAAATAAACGATTTTCACTAACCTTTTCACAATACACTAATAACTATCTTATAAAGTTTTTTACTTTTAAAATAAATTTTAATAAGCTTAAAAAGTGTGCCTGCAAAGTATGCGCGACCCTTCCACATTTTTGTTGTACAAAAAGGCAATCAGGCGCGACTTTGAAGTTGCAGAATGTATTCATTCAACGCAACGAGGGGTCAACGATCCGTCCTTGTCCCATTAATCCATTTATGCCCACTTGCACTAAACTTAAATACGTCTTAAACCAATGCTTAAATTGATAAGACACTCTTAACACAATGTTCTAAGTGTCTTTTGCATTGCAAGCATCGGTTTAAGACAACAGAAATTTGGTACATGTGGGACATTAGTATTACACCGTAGTGTTACATTTAGGCTCAATTTACATCGCAGAGGAAGAAAATGGAAGTGAATTTTTGTAATCATAGCTTATTGAACTCTATTGTGTAACATACAAACTTGATACACGCGACGTGTTTCGGACAATTCTCCTGCTTTCACGGAAATTCCCACTGCTACCATATCGTTTCTAGTTTGTATGTTACACAATTGACATAAAGTTGATTATGCTATGCACAATTTTGTTAAAAATTTGCTTCTATTCCGTTCGGAGGAAATGTATATTGAGCCTTCATTTATGATGTTTTTCAAAATGCTAAGAAAGAATTAGTTTCGTATTTAATTCATTCATTACCCTTTTTGTATAGAAATCTACTATTATAAAGGAAATGTTAAAACTGAAATAGGTCTATCTTAATTATATTTTACTTCTATGTTTTAGTGGGATTCTTGCCTTAACACATAATGCTAATTTTTCTTTAATCCGGAATTCTGTACTTTTACAACCACAATTTTTTATACATCTTCTCCCGCACGCGGTGTACAGCTAAAAACCTGTATAAAATACAAGAACGTAAAATATCTGAGAACGAATATGAAATGATAAAAAAATGTTCTTCGCGCCAGCTGAAACTTTCCATACACACTTTCCAAATGAATAAATCTGTAAGATATTGTAGGTATAGGTCCTTGCGACATTTTCAGCTCATCATTTGAATTTTAAATCATACGAATACTACTAATTAAATATTATTATTAATACGTATATTCTGTCGAACCTTTTCTAACACAGCATATAATTTCCAGGTTGTTGACATCTATACGACATTGTCAAATGCAGTTGCGGTGTACTTCGCCAAACCTGATGCACTCAAGGGAAGTTTAGTAGAAACGCTCCGGGAAGTAAGGCCTACACGGTTAGTAGTAAATTATACCTACGTTATTACCAGAGATATGTGATACGTTATTACACATAGAGTGCATAATAGCCCATCGTAAAATCCGGGAACAAAAAGTATAATATCAAAACAAAATAGTTATATTTTTACTTACATTTACAAAACTTTTAAGGTAATTGCTGATTACACAACAAAAATGTAAAATAAATTAATAATATACGTATATAAATAATAATGTGCCAAATAACCACACCAATTGCCTGGTCTCAAACTAAGGAACTCCCTGTACTATGCGTACCAGAGCAACCAATTTAGAAAAGGTCAATTCCCAAAATTTTGGTCCTACTGAGAATCGAACCCGGGACCTCCGCATCCAGTGCCCAGTGTGAACCGTCGTCACAGAGGTCGTCAAGAATAAATTACAATCAGAATTATAAGGTTTGAGAGTGAGGTGTTATTTCTCGACGTTTGTCGAGTAGTTATTTCGCCTATACCGATCTCTAGTTATTACTCACGTTGTAAATGAATAACAAGCTCATACAGCAGGAAATACGATAAAAGCAACTCTTATTTGTTCCTCTTTACCTCTTAGTCACAGTAAAAACAAAAATTTATACTATGGTCTTCTTATTGATCTCTAAAATAAGAAAATATGACAAGTACTCACTCAATTGCCCATCCCACCGTCTTCCCTTTATTCAAATAAAAATTGTTATGTAACTTCTCTAGAGTGTTTTGTATATTAAGTTTATTTTTTGTGAAATTACTCAACTAGTATGTTATAATTATGAATACAAATATCGAACACTTAGAAAAAAAAGTTTTGTATAGTTAGGGTGAGATTAGTATTCATAAAAATGCCATAATAAACTGCGATAAATTTGTAAAAAGCTCTATAGTATACGAGTACGAATAATGTGGTTTCTATTTGCTTGTATTATAATGCAATTAGTTTTATTGATAAGATTGCAATGACTTTCAAAACTCATAAATGCTTGCACACTCAAACATAATATGACTCTGGATGCGACTAAAATATAACATTGGTGATCAATTTTTGATCGTTCAATACATTTGAAGGGTAAGAGTGCTGGTGAAATTACAGGCACATGGGACTTGTCAACTTATGTCTCAGGGCGCAGTGGCAGTGGCAGTGTCCCTCAGGTCTTTGCGATTTAAAGCTCTGAGTGGCACTGCAACTGTTATTGACAGGCATGCTAGCTTAGCACCAGGCACAAGACTTGTTCATCCCGTCACTAGATATTATTAAAAAAACATTAGATTTTATTCTGAAAATGTAAAAAATAATAGTATCAGAAAAGAGACAAGTCCCACATGCCTGTAATTTCAAAAAACAGAAATAGGTAAAGTGGCAGTGGTGGTACCTGGACAATAGTTCAAATAGCTCTACTGCTACTAAAATGTATACATTTAAAATAACATAGCTCTATTTATTTCGTTCTATATCGTGTCTCTTGTTTGATCATTGGACTGCAAACTTGTTGGCTAGCGAATAACAATAAGTTTTGTTTAGCGCTTTAACAAAATATTTTAAAAGCATCATCTTTTGTTTTGGAAGGTTTCATTTCCGTTATTTATAAACATTTTTAATATAAAATATCTATTCAAATTAATTATTATTCGCTGATAGTGTTACCACTATTGCTGAGTTGCTTATCCTTACCGCTCAACAATTTGAATTTGGAAGTGGGGCCTGGGGTAAAAGAACATTAATACTTCTATTAATAATTCTATTCTACTTCTATGTAATAAGTCCAATATCTAGCTAGCTGACCCGTAGTATATTATTTTCATGTTCTATATATATTTTATACAGGTTTTTAGCTGTGCCCCGAGTATGGGAGAAGATGTATGAAAAAATCATGGCTGTAGGCGCACAAAATTCTGGATTAAAAAAAAACATAGCATTATGGGCCAAAGACAAGGGAATGAAGCATCACCTTGCGAGGATGAATGGGTAAATCTTTTTATAAACACTTTACGAAGACACCAAATTGAAAAATCTAAGCTATATTTGTAATGAGAAAACGCCAAGTATTATAGGGATACACTTTATGTTTGTCGCTTTTCCTATTAGTTATATGAGGTATATATCGTGTCGACGCTTTTTGTTATTTTACGACTTTATTGAGTAGTATGTTGCCTTGATTGCCTTATCTGTAGGAGCATTGAGATCTTTACGCGTGCAGGTGTTTGGGTACAAAGACACGACGGCAAGTACTGCATGGACTATGTAGGTGCACCGTAGTCATATAAGTGTTAGATTAGCATCTCTGAACCTCCAGATAGCCAATTTGTCACTTCAGCGACCTATCTGAGTGAGAAATCGATTGACTTCTACACGGACGATAGCAGATCGCATCCTGACTGTAGTTGGTTGTAGTTTGAAAGTAAAATGTCGGGACTTCTTGAGTAGTTTGTGGGCTCTCGCGTCTTATAGTGATTATAAGTAACATGGTGATTTATTTTGGTAAAATTACATTGAACAAATAGAGGAGACAAACGTGGATATAAACTAAAAAATAAATAATAATAAGTCAATAGCGTAAAAAGAAAATTAAATAATAAACACTTTTATTACAAATAGTGCATTCTCAGCCGATCCACGACGCCTACCGATAGATTACACCACTATCGAGTTATTCAAGGTTTGGTACGTAATGAAATCCCCACAGTAAAGATATTGTTTTTGGTACTTGCTTGGTACTAGATCCATAATTTATTGCAACTTATAAGTAGATACATTTATGACCGAGCATGTGCAATGATCTAATCTGTTAAAATAGTGACGGAGTGAAAATTTTACGTAGTTACATTCGCCGAGTTCCACTATTCCCTTCGTTGTCTAGAGCTCCTACTACGTATTTAATCACCTCAAGTTTCGTTAACGGGCTCTTGGAACTATCCCGTTACATCAGACAAAATAATGGGGTATTTGTAACTACCACAACGTTCCTTGGACAAATTCGCATGCGCATGTTTCAAATAGTCCAATAATTAGGTATTTTCACAGGTTTTTTCTAATTTTGTATTTTTTTAATATTAATAATTTTTATAATACAAAATGTATTTCATTTTGGTTTCGTTTCCACGTCCAAGTGCATACTCTATTTAACAAAGTCTATGATTACGTTTCTACATAGTTTGTATTGTTTTCCGGCATAGCTTTTTTTTCATTCGTAAGCTTTTATTATAGTTATATATAGATAGTCAATCAATAAAAGCTTATCGTATGAATGGTAATATTTATACCTAATATGGTATAATGGATAATACCTAATATGGTATAAATATTAGGTACCATTCACGCGTACAAGAGCACGTAAATCTGGACACTTAAGATTTAAATTGAACTCTAAGGTGCTTGCAATAAGACCGGCTTTAACTCCCAGTGTCCAAAATTGAAGAGCTAGAGTGTAACAAAATAGTTTGACCATAAATTTAGGTACAGTTAGTGATTCACGATAATAAACAATTTTAGTAAAACAATTTGAAATTCGACATCAAAATTGATTGTTTCACCTTACAAATATTCGCAGGATTGCGTAGCGTAGGCCATTTGGTCTGTCCTGTTTTGTTACAACCTTAACTTAAGCAACTTCTTTTTACCCAATAAATCCAGCAAGTAATAGAAATATTCTAATTACAGGCAAAACGGCACTACCTGCGGTTTCAAACTAGCCCGTACTTTAGTTTTCAACAAAGTGCACGAGACGTTAGGCCTCGACAAATGTTCCACATTCGTGACAGCTGCAGCACCTCTTTCAGCCGATATAAAGAAGTTCTTCCTTTCTCTCGACATGCCTATCATGGAGGCTTTTGGCATGAGTGAAGCTTCTGGTGCTCACACCCTTTCCATATATCCTAGGTAATATCTACAACACACTTGAATTTTTACTTAAATTTTGTAGGTAAACACTACTTGATTGTACTAAGTAGGCAATAGAGTACAATAGAATATAAATTACTATTTATTTATAAGTGTGAAAAGTACGTCTTGAACGAGGTACTTATACCATTCTCTTGACGTAAAATATGCAAAGTGATGAAGGTCATGTTCTTCAGTTACAAGTAAAAAAGAAAACGATTATGAAAACGAGATTGACTCAAAACCCCGATGGCGTTGGTTCCACAATTATAATCGTCTATGGACTGGTTAAAAGTGCCATGTTTATTAGTTGTTTAAAAATAACCGTTCAATGGATGTGGAATGTGCCTGGGGTTGTCTGGAAGTATGTGCTACCGACTATTATACATTGGCCTTATTAAACTTGTTTATTTTCATTTGCTTTGTAAGTTTAATGTGCAATTGCATTGACTTACAAATAAATGGACGACGGGTCTAATACAAAAACCACGAAAAAAATGTCCCAAGTCAACCTATTCGAAATTTAAATTGTTATGTCATCGCAGTATCGCGCTGTCCGTAGAACAAATGAAGACTAAAGCGGAGTGTCGCGCTCTGTATACGATTTTAGCGCCTTACAAGTGCGGACACTTTTTAGCGCGGACCCGACGTCCATATAATTGTAAGTCAATGTGCAATTGTATTAGTTTAATGTGTAAGTATTAATGTGCAAGAATTATTTCACACGTTTCAACATTGTTAGACCCAAATAACTTTTTTTATGATATTAAGTGACGGGACGAACGAGTCGTGCGCTAGGTGGGAAACGACACGCTTACCATTACAGACCTCGTAGCATGGCTACGCATGATAGTCGCGACGCGCGCGATAAAATTTAAATAAGCGCGCCCTATTGGCTATCTAAATTAGATCTGATTGAGACAGCCAATAGCGCGCGCTTATACACGACTAATTATGGGCGGTAGTTTACTGGAGTCATAATATAAAATAATATTTCAGGTTCAGACCAGAATCGTCGGGGCTAATTCTCGAAGGTACGGAAACAAAATTCGGCGGTGCTGTCAGTCCACATGGTCCTGGAGAAATCATGATGAGAGGCAGACATATATTTATGGGATACCTCAACGACGAGGCGAAAACCAGAGAAGCAATAGATGACGAGGGTTGGTTACATTCAGGAGACGTTGGAAGACTGGACACCAATAATTTGCTGTACATCACTGGCAGGATAAAGGTGAGGACGAAAAAATTCAAGTTAGGCCCTTGGTGACATCACTGGTTTATTTTAATTTTTGTACTACAAGTTTTGTATTAAAACCACGTGGTAGACTATATTCATTAATCACGTGTTTCCTGGTTCACATAGAAATAATCACGGAAAGCATAGACCAACTATACTATTTTTAGGTCTATTGCTAGAAGTAAATTATAAATATAATAATAGTAACAGAAGGCTATACCAATTGCCTGCATCTCAGACTAGAAAATTCCCTGCAAATATCAGAGCATCTGAATTATCAAGAACACCCAGATCAAGACCAATTTAGAAAAGTTCGTTTCACAAATTTGTCCTACCGGAAATCGAACCCGAAATCTCATCTAGCGCTCGTAGTGCTAACTGCTGGGTCACGTAGGTCGTCAAAACGTGTGAATGGCGCAAGGTTTCGCAAAATAGTTCCACCCTCACTTCGGACTACTAGAAAGTCAGGAGTACTGCATAAGGATGCATTTATGTCATTGACTGACCGTTCATTCGCACGAAATGCTTTGCTTCATCATTGTTGATGGCACGTAAGGAATGGAGTACATTGAGTACATACGTCTGTGTTTTCCGAAAGCTACATTTTATTTTTATGATATCAAGTCACTGGACGAACAAGTAGTGTGCCTGGTGTTAAGCGACACACCTGTCCATGGCGGTTACAGTGCCACTCAGGCCTTTAAACCGCAAAAATCTTAGGACACTGCCACTGCGCTTATCACCATAACACATAAGTTGACAAAGCCCATGTGCACCCTTACCTTTCAAATCTGGAACGCAGTAATGCTCACATTACTGTTTCGCAGCAGAAATAGGTGTAATTTATTTCCACGTAATTAAAAAATCCACTTTATTTTTTCTTTTCAATCCGCAGGAGCTACTAATTACAGCGGGTGGTGAGAACATCGCGCCCGTATTGATCGAGCAACAAGTCCAAGCCGAGCTCATTCACATCGGTTATGCTGTCCTCATTGGAGATCGGCGGAAATTCCTCTCTATTCTTATTACCCTTAAGGTAACATAACATCTTGAATATTGTAGGAGCATTATAAAAATCATAGAAAAAAGATATATCTGAAACATCTAATACACTAGTGTATCATTATCATTGAAATAAAAAAATATACTATTTTGTGAATATAATAATAATAATAATAATTTTATTTGCATAATAATAATCCAACATGCAATGTACAGTAAGAACCAAAAAAGGCAAACCTGTAAATTTTTTGGCGAGCTGTTTCGGTTTTCTTTCTAAAATTTCATTTTTAAAATTGTATTCAAATCTCTATATTTCACTTCCCTTTCAATAAATTAAATAAATAATCTGGTGTAAGTAACATAACTACGGATTTCTTCGTACTATGACTACCAGAGCTACGAATTTATTTCCAGTTGACCTAGGCCAGAAATAAATAAAGTTGAAAAGTTTATTTCCTCGATTGGTTCTCAATATAAACCTGGAACCTCGTCATCTAGAGTCCACTGTGTTAACCCCTGAGTAACAGAAGTCTTCTTTTACAAATGTATATAAAAAAATCACCTAAAATTAAACCGAACCAGCATAAAATGGGCATGCCTATGATGACATGCCTCACAACTTACGGATTTGGTATTGTAGTGTTTGCCTTAACTTTTGTCTTTCTATTCCAGTCTAAAGTGAACAATGACACTGGCGAACCCTTGGACGAGTTGGATACCGAAACCGCAAAGTGGGTGGCGGGCCTTGGCAGCAAAGCTAAAACTGTCAGCGAGATTGTTAACACTAAGGACCCTGCTGTAAGTTTCGTTTTGATTCTTTTAAGTTTTTCTTTCACCAGTACTTACTTTCACAAATTGTCAGAAAAGCTACCAACACTACTCGCCAGTAAAACCTTCGAAGATGCCGATATAGTATTAATTAGACTATGGTTCATGACTATTTGTTAGAGACATTAAAGGGCTTGTTTCAGTTATTCGACTTTGAAATTCGCATCTTTATTGAAGGAATTCAATAATAACATTTTTGGTAATTTAAAACTAAGTGCCCTGTAAAGTTGTATGATTTACGTTTATATTTCAGGTACACAAAGCAATAGAAGAAGCCATCACGCGAGCTAACAAGCACGCTATTTCTAATGCACAGAAGATTCAGAAGTTTGCTGTCCTGCCTAAAGACTTTTCCAACCACACTGGCGAACTAGGTAAATATTTATTTTTAATACTTTCAATACTTTTTAATAGTTTATATTAATGACTTACCTAGCCTTATGGAGGGTATAAAACATGAGATATGTTTGCTGATGATACTTCCTTATTATTTAAAATTAAAAGGCACCAATGTTCCTACGACGATGTGAACAATGCTATATCTAAAGTAGTTGATTGGTTTGCTGTTAATAACCTACTTCTTAATGAGAAAAAAACAAATTGTGTGAAATTTACGTTACCCAATGTTAGAGAGACGGTTACAAACATTGTAGTTAGAAACGAAAAATTGAATCTTGTGGATACAGTTGTATTTCTAGGTATAACGTTAGATGCTAAATTGCAATGGGGTCCCCATATAAGTAAGTTATCAAAACGGCTCGGCTCTGCAGTGTACGCGATTAAAAAAATAAGGAAACTTTCAGACGTCGAAACCGCTAGATTGGTTTACTTCAGCTACTTTCACAGTCTAATGACATACGGCACTTTGCTTTGGGGTAATGCCGCCGATATCAATAGAATCTTTGTCCTGCAGAAACGTGCAGTTAGGGCAATTTACAATTTGGGCCCCAAAGTATCTTTGAGAGATAAGTTTAAGGAAATTAACATTCTTACACTAGCCTCACAGTACATTTATGAAAATGTAATTTATGTTAAAAGGAATAGTAATTTATTTATGAAAAATAGTGACAGACATAACATTAATACGAGGAATAGAAATAAGCTAGCTTTTCTTGATAGTCGTCTTCACAAAGTCAAAAAATCATTTAAGGGGCAATGTATACGCTTCTATAACAAGATTCCGGTTGATATACAAAATTTGCCTTTCACGAGGTTTAAAACTATAGTGAAACAAAAACTTTATACTAAAGGTTATTATACAACTTCTGCGTACTTGGATGACAAAAGTCCGTGGTAGTAACCCGTTTAGCTCATGGAGGTAGTCTCGATCTCTGATGTTTCAAATAAAAAAAAAATATTGTAAATGTTATTTACAAAGAGCAACCCCTAGAGTTTCTTGCTCATTCTTCTCAGGGGAATCTGCCTTACGAATGAGCGGTAGAGTTTAAGTATTGTGACGATTTCAAGTGTAATAATGCTTACCTATGAAATAAAGATTATTTTGAATTTGAATTGAATTTGAATATTTGTGAATATGAATAGTAAAATAAGCAGTAATTATAAAATAAAATAAAAAATATATAAAATAGGCTGTAGTTAACAGACACGGATTTATTAACAATTTGTAGATATAAAAACACTAAAAATTTTTGCTCTGGGCTTTGCTCGTATCGGAAAAAGCCCCACCCTCATGTCGCCTCACGTCTGGCCTCCATACCTTGTTCGAAATGTCGATACAGGGTACAGCATATTCATATCATCATTCCAATATTATTAATTGATATTTCGTCAATCGTGTTGCATTGATACAATTCTATTTATATAAGTCAAGTTTTGGCATGACAAGGTTAGACAGGACAAAGTAGGACTTGAGGGTTAATATTTTGAATAAATTTTTACCGGATGACCGGATTCTAAGTTTAACTCTTAACCAACCTAATAAGATGGTAGTACATGAAACGAAAGTACAATTTATTATAATAAAAAAGAGGTTTCGTTTGAAAGTTGCGTTACTAAACAATTTAATTTAAATAAAACGACAACATGAATTTACCGGTTTATACTAACTCAAGGAGAGCAGTTGAATAGGGCCGTGGTTGGTCAACCTAAAAAAACCTGATTTTTCCGTTCCGATGGTTCTTCTAATAGTAACCATATTCTCACGTTTCCATAAAATCCGAAGAACTCCGAAGACCGACAGTTAGAAATTGTACCTTAATACTATTATATATTATACCTTAATACTTAATACTTAATACTATATTTCTAAGATTATAATTGCTTATTTGTTCACAGGGCCCACTTTAAAAATCAAGAGGAATGTCGTCTATGAGAAGTACAAGGACATTATAGAAGACCTTTACAAGGAATAATAAGTTATTTTTCTAGTAATATTAGCTTAGTTATATATTGGGAGATATTTGTTATAAACATTGCTCAATTAGGAACAAGTGAATATATTGTGATCACTAAAGGTACTTTAAGTAAACAGAGATATATATGTAAATATATTTGTAACGGAAGTATACTTTTAAAAAAATACGTTGGTTTCAATAAAAAACTAAATAACTGGATTTAATTTATTCATAAAATTGAAACTTAATATATAATAATAAACTCATTTAAATTGCTACAGTATAATATATAATACTCTGTTAAATACAAGTCTATTATAGTCCGCGATATAGCATTCTGGGCAATATGGAATGCACAGTATTTATAATAAAAAATTAAAAACTAATCGTGCTCTAAAATACACGTCTTTTAACTATACGCACACATCGAGTACATAACCAGAAATAAAGACGAAATAAGGGCCATATATTCCTGGTAGCACATTAGCGATACAGCTCTTATAAATATCAACTCTCGTTTGCACTGAAATATAGACAGGCCAACTACTGACCTGTGTGAACGTCTCCGTATATTCCAAAAAATATTCTGTATTTATTGTAATAAAAATAATATCTCTAACAATGCCGTGCTGTTCTATTCAGTGGTGTGGGAAAAACAAAAACTAATTACAAAACAAACGGAATGACATTTCATCGGTAATTAAATATGTAATTTTGCAATTATCGTCCATTATAGCAAAGCTCAAGTTAACTGGTCGATTTGACGTGAAACAGTTGACACCCATTGACGACACCCATCAATTGTTTCGAACTCGGGCTGGCCAATCGGAGCGCAGTTGTCGCAGTAATGATATGGCAGAATAGTTTTCAAACAAATGAAATGACATTTCGTCTCTATTTCTGGTTATATACTCGATGACGTCACACAAACATAAACAAGTAAAATGTCATAACTATACTTCTTATCAATCATTTTACGGGAAAAGTAAATAAAAGAGGCAACTCCACATAATAACTACCTTCAATCCTGTGGATTTTGACAACTAAGGATGGAACATTACGATTCGATTTTTATGAAGATCGATTCAAGTCATCATTCATCAAGAATCTAACAATTTTTGTATTGATTTATTTCAACGCAATTTTCAAGCAAGTCGATTCAATAGAAAGGCTAATCGAATCGTCTAGATCAGATAGGAATAAACATTTTGTAATAATATAATAAAATTTAAACAAAACTCGATTTACAACAAAGTACTGGTTGTTAACAGTTTTTGCACTCGATTTTTGACAAAAATTTTTCAAACACGATTTTAAGATGTTATTCACATGAACATATTGGAAAAACATTGAGATATCAAGTGGAAGTCTTCAAAATATACGTGATAGTGTTACTAATTCCATTTATTGAGTGATTGCTTTGAAATTTTAACCGAAACGGTTTGTTTACTTTTCTCGTACAATGGATTGGAACAGATGATATAAATATTAATTAACTAACGGAAAATGCTGTTAAAAAGTTATCAATACAAATACTATCACGATAATTAAAAAAAATAAAATTATATTATTTTTGTTTACTTGAGTATCTGAAATATCATGAAAAAACAACAGGCATTACGGTAGGTGCGTGCAATTTAGATTTTTAAAGCGGTGCGTCATGATTTAAAGCGTACGCACTGCTTTTGATATCTGGCTTGAGTACAGTTAGCAATTTGCGTTTTTGGAATTTCTTATGCAAATAATTCGCGAAATTTTTAGCACATTAAATTTCTTTTCGGTTTTTTGGAGACTACAAAAACGAAGCTTACATTTCGCTTCGCGAACTGTACCTTTCTTTGTCTGTAACCTTTCTGTTAGTATTTAAACACATTGACTTTTTATATGATACGAAGTGACGTGTCGAACAAGTCGTGCGCTTGGTGGCAGGCGACACGCCTGACCATAAATAAGGTTGCATTGCCACTGCGCAAGTCACTCTGAGATATAAGTTGACAAGTCCCACATGCCTGTAATTTCACCAGCTCCCTTACCTTTCAAAACCGAAACGCAGTAATGCTCACATTACTGTTTGGCGGCAAAAATAGGTAAGGGCTTAAGTCAGTCAATACCTAATATTTTCCAAATTCTTGGAGGTATAATGTACTAAGTGTCAAGCTGTCGACTTAAGTATTTGGAATAACAGACGGAATGTAAAAATGGAATACTGTTTGATGTTTGCGTACCTGACATGTGTAAAATGGTGATATTAAAAAAAACACGTAATCCGTAGTAACTAGTCAATTGTAGGAGGCGCGACGGCGGGCAGCGGCGGCGGCGCGTCGGCCAGCGGCAGCGGCTTTGCTACGCCGATGCGAACGACGCCTCGCGGGGCACCTTTAAGGGCTGCCACAGCTTGCTCAAGGCTAGCATTTTCTAAGTTCTGTTCAATAAAGCAAGATGTCTCAGTGTTTTGTTTGATCATAATTATTATCATTTCCTTTAACAATTTAGAGGAAAGTAAATTTGCATGTTATTATTTCGATACTTCGGGGTAAAAAGGCGTAAAAGTAAATTTTATCAAAAAAAAAATTGTTTATGTAGGTACTCGAGGTCAATTTTCATGCTTCTGCTGGTCTACTCAAAATTTAGTTATACGCCAAACTAAACTATAACGTTCATAAAATTGTTGCTTTTGCTACCAAATTACAAAGTTTTGTAAAATGTGTAATTTGGTATTTACGCCCTTTCTTCCCAGAAGTATCGATTTATTTCATGTTGCGGTTTCTAACGCTAATACTGTAAGAATTGTTCCCTTAAAAGCTGGATTGTTTCCCACGTTGAATTCGTATCCGGCAGTTAAAAAGATGGGAGAGTTGAAAACGTTTGCTCATACCATATCTTTACTGTAGTGGTTGTGAAAAAGCATTGACAAGATATTATTTAAATAATCCACGTTACCTGGTCATTGACAAAGAGCAGTCGGTCTCCAGGAATAAGCCTTCCATCTTGTTGCGCCACTCCACCTGGCACCAGCGATCGAATCACGACCAACGTGTGCGATGGCCGCAGTGGGTCTTGGTAGTCAAGGATTGAGAAACCGAGACCGCGCTCGCCTTTTACTAGTTCTGTATGTAAATTACATCGAGTATATAACCAGAAATAAAGACGAAATAAGGGCCATATATTCCTGGTAACACATTAGCGATACAGCTCTTATATCAACTCTCGTTTGCACTGAAATATAGACAGGCCAACTACTGACCTGTGTGTACGTCTCCGTATATTCCAAAAAATATTCTGTATTTATTGTAATAAAGATAATATCTCTAACAATGCCGTGCTGTTCTATTCGGTGATGTGGGAAAAACAGCAAAACATCTAATTACAAAACAAACGGAATCACATTTCATCAGTAATTAAATATATAATGATTAGGCAGCATCTGCCGCCGTCCAGTCAACCCGTGACCATGGAGTGTGCAACCGTTCCAAAATATCGGGAAAATAAAAAGAAGTCATACCGTGGTAAGAAACCTGATATTAGTGATAATCATTTAGTGAATAACCACGAAACTCTTAAAATCTATATTAAATATGTAATTTTGCAATTTTCATCCATTATAGCAAAGCTCAAGTTAACTGGTCGATTTGAAGTGAAACAATTGACGATACTCATTGACGACACCCATTGACGACACCCGTCAATTGTTTCGAACTCGGGCTAGCCAATCGGAGCGCAGTAATGATATGGCAGAATAGTTTTCAAACAAATTAAATGACATTTCGTCTCTATTTTTGGTTATATACTCGATGGTAAATTAAAATACGTTGTAAACATATGTGCTTAATAAATAAAATTGAAGTTTAAAACGTCGTTTCGTAACTGGTTACGAAAAACAGTTAGATACATAGATGAAAGGGTTTTTTATTGTCATTACATTTAATGGTTTAAATTGTTGGGGTCTATATTTATAACATGATTTATACGACAATGGCTTGAGTTTGTTAGTAGACGAGCGAATGTGGGTGGATATATTAGTAAGCAAGCGACATGTCCACATTAACAAGATAAATATAGTTTTCTCTCTCTATTTTCGGGTCCGGCCCAACTTCTGAGCGAGTAAACTTGCACAAGCCATGGACGCATCGTTACGGTTTTCACTTACACAGCGCACTTCTATACGCAAGGATTTTTTGTTATAATATCAAGTGACGAAATGAACAAGTTGTGCACCTGATGGTAAGCTACACGCCTGTCCAAAACTATTGCAGTGTCACTCAGAGCTTTAAATCGCAAAGATCTGAGGGGCCCATGTGCCTGTAATTTCACCAGCACCTTTATTTACCCTTCCAAATCGGAACGGAATAATGCTCACATGTGTATGAGTTGACAAATGCGATTGCGCAAGTTTAGTCGTATTGAAGCTCGACTATAAACTACTTTTATCCAGTGTAATTACAAACATAATTCCGTGTTTTCATCAAGCATTACAAGTAACCGAGAAAGTTAGAATAGAAGTTAAAACAATTCAGAGTACTGTTTTTTTTTACAGTAGTTATTAATTACTGCCAACAATTTTCGCCTTCCTGACAATTACTCACCAATAATTTGCGGCTCTGAAGACCACATGGCGAGACCAGTAAGAGGCTCAAGGCTGCGCGAGCGCACTTTGCCATTGGTCAAAGACCCGCCTTCCTCTGCCCCTGCACCGGCTAGACTGCCGTCAGATTTTGCCTAAAATACGGATAATTGATTTATTACACATCAAAATCATACAAAACAATATTTTAATGTAATGTAACATAAATAATATCGCTTTCTTGTAGATTCCTTAGGTAATGTTTGTTTTTCCTCTTATCTGTTTTTGTATTGTGGCATCATCATTTTATTCTATTTATTTAACTGCCTCCGTGGCCGAACGGTTACCATGCTGGACTGCCACGCAGAGGTCCTAGTTTCGATCTCCAGGCCAGGAGAAATATGTGTATGGTTTTCATTTATTTATCTCGCGAGTTTGAGTGTAATTTGTGGTTGTCTATGTGTGTGTCCATGGCACCCGCGACACAGGGTTTCCCTAGTGCGGGGCTATGAGTGTTGCGTTATTATTATGTTATAATTATATTAAATCAGAAAGACAGTGTGGTTTTAAGAATTGTTTGAACCGCCATGAAATTGAATGCTGCGTTTTTTATACTATCCTAGATTACGACGACTTGTAGACGTTAGATATACTTCAGTCATACCTTGACGAGGGTAGGCGCAGGGGGGGCAAGGTCGAGCGGCGGTGCGGGCGCAGGCCTCGGTCGTGCACACACCATGCACACCTCACTCGACAACTCCTTCAGGATCGACACTACTTCCAGGTGATTCATGCCCAGCAGACGATGTCCGTTTACCTCTGATAAGACATACTAACATTAGGAGTTGTGATGCTACCACACCGAAGTCCAAATTAGAAATGTGTCTATATTTTCATGTTATCTCTTTGTGCCGATATTTGTTTTAATTAGTATTTGTTACCATTAACATTTACCATTATTATGTTCAATGAGATATCAAAATACTAAAAATATTTGTTCAAATTTTCTACGAATATATATATATATATATATATATATATATATATATATATATATACACAGTGGTGGTCGTATAATTGGAAACACTACAAACGGTCCTTGACATTATGTAAGAAACTTCACCGCAATCGTTTTTATTTTGAAATTAAACAATAAATAGGACAACAATAGGTTCAACGATTTATCACTTATTAGAAAAACAATATAAATCCCACTACACAAGTGCAGTTTCAATATTACATTACGGACAAACACTCAAATCAGTTTTAAGGTATAAACAATAATGGACAACTAATTAGAAACAACAACAAAAAAGTGTAAAAAAAACAACATTTTTTTAATTATTAGCAATTAGTATTTTTATTTACGAAATAGCTACTATCCACAGCCTACCAATATTTATAATTAATATTTAGTGGCGTATCCCTTATTCAATAATAGCTCTGCAACGACGTGACATTGATTCAATCAATGTCATACATTTTTCTAGAGGGATTGAATTCCATGCTTCAACAAAAGCTTCATATAATTCATTTTGACTGGTGTTACGTTTGTTTGAGACTTTTTTCTTAACAATATACCACAGTTTGTTTGAAAAAACAAATATACGCGATTTAAATCCGGAAAAATAGTTTCATTTCCTATGTGTAACAATCGCGAAAACCTAAGAACTCGAAACATACCACAGATTTTCTACCGGGTTTAAATCCGGACTATTTGCTGGCCAGTCTAAAACGGATATACGCTGTTCGCTAAGGAAACATTTGACGCTATTGGCCGTGTGTTTAGGATCATTGTCATGCTGAAAGATCCAGGTTACAGGCAAATGATCGTCCGAGTAGGGAATCATTGTGTCCTCTAAGATATTTTTGTACTGCCATTGATCCATTGTACCTTCAATCTTCCGAACGGGACCAACTCAACATTCGGAAAAACACCCCCAAACTTTAATGTTTCCGCCACCGTGCTTGACTGTGCTCCTTGTGTATTTATAATTAAAAGCACTGTTTACAGGACGTCTAGCATAGCGCTTTCCATCTGAATTCACCATGTTTATTTTCGTTTCATCTGAAAATAAAACTTTTTTCCAGTCTCGTACCGTCCAATTAACATATTTTTTGCGAATAATAATCGCTTCTCTCGATGTTGCTTGGTAAGAAGCGGTACCTTTCGAGAGGTTCTTCCAAACAATTTAGCTTCCATTAATCTTCGGCGTATCAGTCTTGATGAGACGTTTCTGGGATCATCAGGCGAAAAATTTCATTTTTAAACTGGTTTGAGCCTTTAAATGGGTCTTTTTTAGCAACACGAACTATTAGCTTATCTTCTCTGGGAGAGGTTTTTCTTGGCCGCGGCTTTCTAAGAACATTTTCAACAGTTCCATGTGTTTTATTGTGATCAATTGCATTAAAAACTTTCTTCACAGAACAATTTAAATGCTCAGCTATTCTTCTGTACGTCCACTTTTGATCTAAATGTAAATTAACAATTATTTGCCTAGTTGACGCGTCACAACTTTTCTTTTTTGAATTTTAAAAAAATAAAATTTTGAATTGCCGCCAAATTAATAGAAAACATAGAAAGAAATGTTATTGTTCAATTTAAAAACAAGAACGAGCTATAGATGCTTTTTTCAAATGTTTCTAATTAGACGTCCAAGCGGCCAGGAACAGAAAATATACTCGTAAATTGTGTAAGACTCATTTTATAATAAAAAGTAAGATATATTTTATTTTTTATGCATTTAATGATTTTTATTTGAGTGGCTATATTATTGCATGATGATTTATTATTGAATTTATATATTTTTCACGAACATTTGTACGTTGAAATTAAACTTCCTTCAATCATAAGAAGTGTTTCTAATTAAACGACCACCACTGTATATATATATAGATATATATATTATAAAATACCTCTATTCATAAAAGTTTCTGGTAACAATGATTCAGTATATAAAAATATTTAATAAACTAAACTAGTCCAGTCTCACCGAGCAACTCGTCTCCAGGGCGGTGCACCCCCGCTCGTCCTACGGGGCCCTCAGGCAGTACAGAGCGCACGTAATGGTGGGGACGTACCTCCCTCCCACCTTCCACGTCCACCGTCCCCTCTAACGAGATGCCAAGCCCACCTCCGCCACGCATTACTACTCCTACTACTATTTCCACATCATCACCTGGAATTAAAAAATATATAATTGTGGTTATTAGATGAGTGCACAAACGACTAGTTGCGTAGAAAAAGATAAGTACTATATTTAACAAAAGTTATTTCAATATAGCACAAGAATATAGTTTTTTTTTTAAACATGTTTACAACTTGTAGGCACGACTAAGATAATAATGTGACAACCGTACATACCCAGCGAAGTGTAGGCATTAACGCGTTTAACCGGCGGGAGTTCTCCCAATTGTCTTATTGTACTATGGCATAGTCGCGATAATAAAATGTAAGTTTAAGTCGTGCTGAAACCCTGGCTGGAAGCCGTTCTGCACTGCGTCTTTCAGCTGGTATTTGCCACTCGGAAACTTTTCTATCGCATCGATAGTCATCCTTTACAATACGTATTAGCAGAAAGAAATTAGCACGCACCCAAAATAGCCTGCCATTTCCTACGAATGGCGTCTCTCTGCTCGGGTGTGCGCGGCATTTCGAAATGCGGTTGCGCACGCGCAGGTGGCGGTGGCGCCGGCGACGCCGCCGGGGACGCCGACGCGCCATCCTCCACGCTCGAATCGCTAGACAAGCGTATACAAAAAGTTTTAAAATGGCAATTCAATATGAATTCGCTAGTACAGGATGTCTTTCAGTTTCTTTTTATTTATGATTTTGTTAATTGTTCCAGCTCCAATTTTTAGATACGAATGGGATCAACAAACTCTCGCAACTAACATAATGATGAAATAACATAATCTCCGTACGTAGTACTAAAAAAACTAACCTCAAAAGTAATTCATCCCCTGGTTTGCCACCCCTAGAGATGGAATATTCATCAAATTAAAATGGGATCACATCTGGAGGCGCCCCTTTTCCAATAAAAGAATCATCAAAATCGGTTCAAAAAAAATATACAATCGAATTGAGAACGACTTCAAAAAAAAGGAGGCGCCTTTTATAAGTCGGTTAAAAAGGGACATTTTCATGTAATGCGAATGCAGTGTTCTTGCGGCGGTCAGTCCGCCTTTATTTTCAATTATTTCAGCAGTCTCATTTATACGTTAAGGTAGTATCACTAACGTGGTATGCAGGTGCGTCATCTGTATATCGTGATCGTGGGGCGCGTTCTCGTTACGGTGCATGTGCAGGAAGGGGTTGTGTGGCGCAGCGACGACGGCTGCACTTTCGCCCGCCGCAATGGCCTGTTGCAGTTGTTCGAACTTCGGACCGCGCAAGTATCTAAATAACAATAAAAAATACTATTGAATTTAGATAACATGTAACGGTCCTACTATATAAACGTTTTTAATGATTGTAATAACCGTTTTTCTACTTAAATACTAAGCTGGTAGAAATAGTAAACATATTTGAACTTCGAGACAGGCGTTCAATTGGCCACGCTGTCTATCTTAGATAGCAATTTTTCTTCATTAATTTAATTTCTCACATTTTCTCGCGGGAAATCGTTATATATGTACAGAGGCCATTTTGAAACTTATACAAACTTTGTACAGTACAAACAGTCAAGAGCACATGAAGCTTGACACTTTGGACTTTGGACCATTCTCATTGCAAGCAGCATAGAGTTAAATTTAAACCTTTAGTGTCAAGCTTGACGTGCTCTTGACCCTGTACGATCAATTCCTCAACTTTTTTTTCTTGTCCTGCAATACCGTCCTTCGAGGCCATTGACTCTCCCTCGGACTTCGGCTGTATATTTGTTTTTCATTTATCAAAAATATAAAAATATATTACATATTACAGTACAATTTAACCCAATAAATCCCCATCAGAGCAAAATATTTACATTTTTTAAATATACTTGTAAAGCATGTTATAAGCTCAAGCGTAACAATTTTGACGGAAAAAGTTGTGTTATTAATGTGCCATGTCATAAAATGAATAAAAAGTTACGCTTAACAGTGAGTTTGAGCAAATAAAACATCATATTTGGGGGTCCTCCCCGGACGACGTACCATTATTTTCCTGTGCGTCTTGCGCACCCTGAGCAACAATCTGCCAACCTTACACCGATTGGCTAATCCTTTCACCACGATGACAAACGTCAACGTGTATAGCCATCGATACGATAAGAAGAAGGCTTTAGTAGATGAGAACAAGACTGTAACGCATAGATTCCCAAACTTTTTGGCTCACCGCCCATTTAGGTAAGATAAAAAAATGTCAACGCCCACCACTACAAAAAATAATTGAAAACACGTATTTTTCATATCAACTTACATTGACTTACAAATAAATGGACGACGGGTCTAATACAAAAACCACGAAAAAAATGTCCCAAGTCAACCTATTCGAAATTTAAATTGTAATGTCATCGCAGTATCGCGCTGTCAGTCGAACAAATGAAGACTAAAGCGGAGTTTGGCGCTCTGTATACGATTTTAGCGCCTTACAAGTGCGGACACTTTTTAGCGCGGACCCGACGTCCATATAATTGTAAGTCAATGTCAACTTAACACAAAAATCACAAGGAAAAAAAAATTATAGTCTTTGTAGCGTAATTTATATGTATAGATAATTCAGAGTTTTTCAATAGCGGTGGCACCCCCTGGAGAGCATCAACGCCTCTCAATTGCTTCCGAGGTACCTACCCTAGAACTCTTCAGCGCCCACTGGGGCTGCAGGGCTCACTTTGGAAAACTATGCTGTAACGTATAACCCAAACCCATTCATAGTTTGGACGATACTCTAATACAAATAACTCCAACCAATGCACTCCAATACAAATAGCCTATATATAACCAATATGGAGTATATAATAATAAAACAAATAGTCTACAGAATCCCTCATGGATTCCGTAGGCTATTTGTTCTCATAAAGACCAAAAACCTTAATACTTTTTACGTATAATAGACAAAAGCTTGGTAAAATTTTGTTATGTTAGATATTTTTAGAGTTGCAACACTGACATTATTTGAGATTTTTTCTCAAAATATATGTTGGCAATATATGATTTCGTAAATTAAAAATTGTTCATCTGCATTATTAACTTTACACATCTCGATGCCTGCTAGTACATAGTTACTCGTACGCACCTTTCAAGCTCCAAAGTGACAATATTGCCGCTCTGTTTCAACGCATCCACAGCCCTCTGGTTAGATTTACCAGCAAGCGAGACTCCGTCCACGGCAACGATACGATCGTTTACCCGCACTTTTCCGCTGAGTGCAGCCGCACTACCCGGCGTTACCGATTTCACAAATATACCTGATAGTTCTTCTTTTTCACACACGTAGCCTGTAAAAATTAATTTTAAAAATCAATAAATGAAATGCCGTTTAAACCCAATCATCAGTAAATGAAAGTTAAAAACTTTCAAACATAATCATTGACCTACCAACAAATTGGCGTTGTGTCTAATTCAAAAACCACGAAAAAATGTCCGAAGTTAACGTATACAAACGTAGTGACATGTAATGAAATATAAAAAAATTGAAACATTTAATTTAAATTGTAACGTCACTGCAGTACTGCCTAATTTTGCTTGCAACAATTTAAGGGCCCAATAACACCATATTCAGCTTCTACTAAAAAGTTAACAAAATGCACCATATTTAGCTTCGACAAAACATTACTTTAACACAAGAGTCATGGAGGAGCCTTTATTGTAAATATTAATTATTTTTATGTATATGTCGCATTTTATACAAATTCACTTAAAGTTATTAATTATTTCTTTAAGTGAATTTGTATACAATTCGACAGATACATACAGAGTTGGGCAGATACATACAAACAAATATTGCTAATATTAAAATAACCATGTACTATAAGAAATATACCGATGTTCCAACAACACGTAAACGCAAATGTCCGTAATTCCGAAAACCGATTTATAATAAAACCGTTACGCTTTCAAGTAATTTTTGATGCTTTTCACAAAGACAAAATTAGCTTTTGTTTTGTAATATTCCTAAAACAATACATTTGATATTATGAAAATTCGAGCTAACGTTATTTGTACGTATATTTGTTTTTTCAAACAAACCGACGTTTCGGGCCCTTTACAGGTCCCATGGTCACGGTTGACTGGGACATGGGACCTGTAAAAGGCCCGAAACGTCGGTTTGTTTGAAAAAACAAATATACGCGATTTAAATCCGGAAAAATAGTTTCATTTCCTATGTGTAACAATCGCGAAAACCTAAGAACTCGATACTATACAACTGTACAAAATAACAATTTTAAATGATAACCATGATAATACGATATATTTGTATAGTGAAAATATGTTACAAAATCCTGTTTTTACGCTTACTATAGTAATTTTTACAAATTATTTTTATATAGTACTGCATGATTGACAACCGAAGAGTCGAACAGAAGTCGAAAAACTGTTGCGCGATTGACGCTCTGGGTCCGATTTTAACGCCCTATAGGTGACGACACTTTTTAGCGCGAACCCGACGTCCATTTGTTAGTAGGTCAATGAACATAATCTTAACTCGAAAGTCAGCCTGAAGTTCAGAGAGAACTGTTGCGAACGCAACAGAATTTTTTTCATTTAATTTAATGTTTTTTTTATGACACTAAATGACGGGACGATAAAGTCGTCTGGTGATAAGTGACATGCATATTCATAACAGTTGCAGTGACACTCAAGTGTTTTAAATCACAAAGACTGGGACACTGCCACTGCGCCCGCCACCATTGACAAGTCCCATGTGCCTTTAACTTCACCAGCACTGTTACCCTTCAAAACCGAAACGCAGTAATGCTCATATTAATGCTTAGCGACAGAAAGAGGTAAGGCGGTAATACTTCCCTGGACGAACTCTTTCACAAGGAGCTCTACAGCTTCTAGTCTCGCTCGCTTAAGGGCCTATTACGTAGGCTGGGGGTTCTATTTTGCACTAATCAACTAACACCACATAAATGCTATTTTATCCCTACGACACATTTAACGCCTTTTTTGTAAAAACTATCAAAGCTCAAAAAAAACCGTTCATTTTTTATTTGTTCTTCCATATTAAGAAACCACGACTGTTTAACGATTAATGGCACTACTTCTGTAAACTAGTTACCTATTGTCTATATTACAGTCAACTATAAATCGTCTTTGATTTAATGAGTTCGTCGAAATCCCCTACATCTTCTACTTAGGTCTGGCGACTGACAAGAACTGTCAAATATGTACACACTTTGAAACCTCCGTGTTTGAATTTCTAAAGTTCTTGCAATTTCCTAGGGTCGTATTCCAGAACTCTACTCAATGCTGAAGTCACGATTTGAGCAGACTTGAGTATGATTTCAAGCACTGGAAATACGACCCTAATGGCAAGGACTTGAATATGATTTCTAGTGCTTTGAATCATACTCAAGTCCTGATTTGAGCATTGAGTAGAGTTCTAGAATACGACCCTCAATAAGAGTCTATTGCCGAAATACAATATTACAATAAAAAACTCAGTGACTTGATGATGAAAATAATTTTGCCTTTGAAATAAAGCAAAATTATTTTATATGGCCCTGGATTTAACTTACCAGCTATTGTAATACCAAGTCCATTTTCATCTTTTTTTAACTGAACTGTGAATCTGTCTACTTCCGGTGACTCTGCATCTGTAAAACCAATTATTTTGATTATAAATGCAATAGGCAGTTGCATATTTGCAAAGAAGTTAAGAATGATCAACTTATTTTTTGCGATACATAGTCTCGGTCTACTAATTAGGGACACATAGCATTGAATACAATAAGTACTGTTACCTTTTAGTCAAAATGGAAATTTCTAAGCATTGAATATCAAAGTAATTATGTTTTGTTGTTAATTAGTAAGTTCTTTTATCAATAATATACACTTTTCACTCTCAAACACAAGAGACAGATTCTATAGAGACAGATCAGAATTTAATTGGATCTATCCCTCATTGACGCCATAAAATCCAAAATAAATTAAAATTATAAACATTTAATACCAGTTTCAGGAGGTGGTGTAATAGAGCTATCGAAGACGAATCTGGAGGCCGTATTGTTGTTGGTGATAGGTGTTGGTTGCGTGTGGAATACTTGTTCGAAGCCTGCTTCGAGGAGGTAGCGGTCTAGGGATTCAGGGTCTGAGAGTAACCTGTGAATAAGAGACATACACATTATATCAACAATTAGTACACAACATCAATTTGTACCTATACAAGGTTTGTTCTTCATATATATATAAAGATATACCTTTCACGCAGTGTTGGGCAAAATTTAATTTTTCTGGCAATTAAGTGGTTAGGGGGTGGTTAGGGTTTGGGTTAGGGGTGAGTTAGGGTTTGGATTAAGGGGGTTAGGGGTGAGTTAGGGTTTGGGTTGGGGGGTTAGGGTGTGAGTTAGGGTCTGGGTTAGGAGTGGCATTGGGGGTGGTTTTAATTGTTAGTTTCAATTGTTTCTTAGAACAACTAAAAAAATTAATTGCAATTAATTTAATGCGACGTGTCGCAATTGATTTAATTGCAATTGATTTCAATTGAATTGATTTTTTAATCTGTTTGAATTTCTGATTGAGATTAAATTAATTAACGCCCAACACTGCTTTCACGCAGATAACTAGAAGAAGATAACTACTATAAAGATTGTCTCCTTGGACAAGTAGAGGAGAATTAAGGTCTGAATAGTACAGGTAATTTCCGCAGAGTTACAAAAGAAGACTATACAGTTTAAAGCTGAGGGTACACCAGAGATGTGCGAGGTAGCTCGGTGGTGCGAGGATGTTTAGCGGCGCTGTGAAACGGTGTGATTGTTTTCATCATAATTGTGCGAGTTAGCTATGCGGTGGAGTATGCGTAGCGAAGCTGTGAAACGGTGTGTAGCTGAGCGGTGCGAGGATTAGTAGCAGACTCTTTTTAGCTGTACGCAAATGGGATGCGGTGTGGTGGGGTGAGCGGAGGCGACGGCTCGCTCACGTACCTCGCACACATTCCTCGCTCGAATCCCTCGCTCGCATCCCTCGCACACATCTCTCGCTTTTTGTGTACGTAAACCACCACCACCAGAGCTGCGCTAAGCGAGGCTAGGAAAATGAAGTAAACCTATTGGTGGAATTTCCCTCGCACACCGCCAAGCTCATCTCTAATCTCTAGATTTGTAAAACGAACTTTGACTTAGCAAACACAGCGAGCTGTGCCTACGTTTAAGCAAGAACCTAAATTAAATTAGAGTTTACTTGGTAATTGCTTACTAAACTGAGGCAAAGTTCGTTTCGGAAACACGAATAACTTGCTTAGCTTAGCATTTTAAATTAGTCGAAATCAAGTGTGTTTTATAAATCCCGGATTAATGGCCCCCATATAAGGAATGATTTGTCTTCACAATTCATCGTTTCAAGTCTGACACGATGAATCAGTCGATTGAGACGACGAATCGATAGTGTATGTTTATTTTATTTTATTTTAACTTATTGGAAGATCAACGGCTATCTTACAGAGTAAAAACTAAAATAATAATGGAGTCAATTATACGATACTATACGATAGACACATATTAATTAATGAGCATTAAATTATAACTATGTAACTAGTAACTATACTATATAGGTAATGACATTTTCGCAACACTTAGTAAATACCTACTAGCAAAAACAAAGTAACGATTATGTCGTACATGATTAACTTGAACGTCAAGGGAGTAGCGACGGATCGATACGGTTATCGTGATGATCGATCGTCGACGACTCCTCGTCTGTATTTTTTTTTCTCAATATATGTATATGATTGTCTCAATAGGTACCTGGCGGGCACGACTGGTGCGAGTGAGGCGTGCACGGCGGCGGGGTCAACAGCACGCGCGACTACTAAACGTACTCGCGATCCCGACGCGCGTAACACACCTGCTACTTGCTCTGATCCCATTTCTGTTAAGTGAGCCTGCAATTCATAACACAACAACGTGTTGAAATGTATGCGATGTATTCTTATACATGTCTTTATGTAAAAGGAAAGTAGACATCATTGAACTTATCAAGGGTAAGTTTGTCAAGCAGCTCTACATTAATTTTTTTTTAACTATAGAAATAAACACACGCGCGAAATGAAACTCAAATATACGTATAGTAGAGCATGTACATGCCTAAAACTACACTGAGCTTTTAAAAGTTCCTACTACACATGCATTAAAATTATAAACTGCCAAGTGAAATAAATAAAACTGCTTTAATCGAATATCATATAAAAGTACTACAGTGTGAATGAGTGTTTAGAACAATAACTTGGCGTAATCGAAAAAGAATACGGCGTACTATGCTTTTTTATAACTCGAGACTTATAGAGATTATAAGTTTTTATCATTAGATATTTGCATGCTATATGATACATGAGAAATATGTTTTTAGTGGTACTGTTTTTGTTTACCAATGTTTGTTATACCATGTTTGACTAGTAGGGAAGGTACTTTAAATATTGCTACGTTTGTATAGAGTTACCCTAGTTGACTTATTATACTATGGCACAGCTGTTACCTTATCGTAAGTATCGTGGGTGATAAATACACGATGAAAAAATCACAGTGATCAGCCGTCAAATAGCATCACCGTGACTTTTTACGAAGGAACAACTTTCCAAAATCACATAGGATATTCCTTTGTTACATTAACTGTCTCTGTCACTCACGACGATACGAAGTATTTTACACAAATCGCGATCTCCGTTCTGTAGAGACTGGCAACTGCGCTACCCATTATAGTTTGCTTTTATTTTTAAATTCTAATTATGAACCAAGAAATAATATCAGTGTAAATACCGTGTAAATATTGTAAATACAAATTAGATAATTGTACAAAATTGATCCAAAATAATAAAAACGCTGCAAGGTCTTATTAACGAATAATGCGACAGGTTATAAAACTGTGAAGGTTAATGCATCTTTTCAAATGGAATTAAACGTTACTTCAAAGTGAGTAATAATATCGACTATTAGAAAGTAGCCGCTTGCCAAAACCGTATAACGTGATGTAAGTGACAGGCGTGATAAAATCATGGTGATTTGTCACTCTGATATGTTTGTAACTGGAACGATAGTCACGGTGATAGAAATGTAACTCTTTTCCCCATCTCTAGTATAGTGAGTAACCACTCAGGTATCACTGCAATGAAGACAAACTGCTACAACATCAACAACAAAAGAACAACACTAAGTCGTCACATAGATGGTACTCACATCCCCAATCTGCAAAATATGGTCTCCGGATTTGAGCCGTCCATCCCGGTCGGCGACTCCGCCTGCTAATATTGTTTTTACTATTACACCACTCGTTCTAGCACCAATTATTCCTGAAAATTGTAGACAAGGTTCAATTTATATGACACATTAAAAAGAAAAGCAAGAAAGTTTAAAATGAATACAAAGATGTAACAAACACAAAGAAATTCGCAAGGTCTGCCAAGTCAGCCGGTTTAGAGCTGTTTAAGCCCTGGCATGGCAACATACACAGATTCAAGGCCAGTTATATTGAAGGAATTTTTCCTTGTGTTTGATCTTTGTATCAATAATAAGAAAAAGAAGAACAAATTTTTGTTTGTTTATCTTTAGTTCATAGTAAATAAACTAAAAATTTTTATTGTGTTCATAATGTTGCAACAATTACAAATGATTGATCATTAAATAATAAGGCAAACACTTTGGAATGCGAAGAAACTACTCATTCTTCTAGTATACTAATAAATACAAAATTATTAATTACCGAAGCCAAGTCCTGTTCCATCATTAACAAGATTGATAACCTCCACCTGTGCCCAGTCGCCCGCCACGATATTGTGGGACGTCGACGCAAGATCGTCATTGCGTGACAAATCCAGGATTCCTCGACACTGTGAGATAAAAATTTAATGTATTATTATTAAAATATCATTATCAAAGCTATTCTGTGAGTTTTAGTATTTTAATTGATTCTTTTCTATTACATTGAATTACAAAAAATTGCAATACCTTTGTGCAGGGGCTTTATGTATGAATACCTAATGTAATCTTAAGACCTATCAATAAATCTATATCTATGCAATAAATAAATTAATTTACTGTGTTTGACTAAAGTTTAATGAAATGGAATAATTCATTTTAAATTAACTCTATTTAATTAGCCAGAGCCTACAGTTTATTAGAAATTCTCTTAGCTTCGAAAATCTTTTAAATGTTGTAGTAGCAGTAGAGCTCCTTGTGAAAGAGTTCGTCCAGGGAAGTACTGCCACCTTACCTATTTCTGTCGCCAAGCGGTAATGTCACCATTACTGTGCTCCGGTTTTGAAGGGTAAGGGTGCTGGTGAAATTACAGGCACATGGGACTTTTCAACTTATGTCTCAGGGTGAGAGACGCTGTGGCAGAGCCCCTCTAATCTTTGTGATTAAAAGCTCTCAGTGGCAGTGCAACCGTTATGGACAGGCGTTTAACTTACCATCAAGCACACGACTTGTTCGTTCCGTCACTTGTTATAAAAAAAAAATGTTCATGATGCACTGAACTACTGAATCATTAAATTATAATTAAGTCGACTCATGGACATGGAGCATGGAACATGTTCCAAAACAATAGGAAAATAATTAGAAGTCCTAATGTGAAAACCCTGTAACTGGCTAATTATTTAGAGAATAACCGTAAAGTCTTAGATTGTATATTTTTTAAATCATTGTTTTAAGAATACTATTGACAAACTGCATAGTATAGGGCATCTCCTTAGCCATAGGTTAACTGACCATCTTACTAGAGTCTGTCACATAATATGTCACATAGACATTTACTTTTTTAATTGTCCTCTTGTGAGTCAACATGTTTAAGATATGCCTCGGCCAAGGGTCCCATAAGCCACGTTTGAAGACTCTCATACTATAATAGTCAATATATTTAGTACAACACTGTTCATCAGTATTACCACTAAGAATACAGCTACAAAAATGGAAGTACTTGATAACTAAGAAGTATTATCACAACAATATCCACCTTTTATAGTATTCTGATAATTCATAGGGTAAATTAATACCACTGCACTTGCTACAAGCCTATCATGCAAGTTTTGCTTGTTCTACTTTCTTTTTATGCAAATATAACCATTATATACCAATTTTACATTATATTTTACCTGTTTAGGAGACATGTTAGAGTCAACAGATCCACTATCTAGCCCCAAAATCCGTTCATTGTCAGAACCAGAACCAAAATCCAAGCTCTGTGGTGGTGACACTTGTGGCACTCTCTGCTCCTCTTCGCCTTCTTGGCCTCCATAGAGACTCCTGCCCTGTAGTGCTAGTTCACCTGAAATATTAGATTTTTTATGGTGAATACTGACAAATTAGTCTTTGTCGCAGAAATGGTGCAGTGGGTTATTACATTAATATGTATGCCTAAAACTGTTAAACTGTACTTATAAATCTGCACTTTATTAGCATGTCTGTATTTGGTCTGTACCTGTATACACACATTTGGTAGTTAACAATGCCAGACTGGCTACAGGCAATGAAGTGTGTCAGTCAGACATACATACTTTGGCCTTCACTAAGTGTCATCTTTAAAGGTATGAAGAACTGACTTGAAAAAGAAAATAATTCTGTAAATATTGCAACATAGTAGTGACTTCAATTCGAATATGTCAGTATTCAGAAAAACATTATTGTCATGATAGTTAGTATAGTTATATGTATATTGTGAAATAAGTAAGTACAGAGTCAAAAGCATATCAAGCTTGTCACTTAAGATTGAAATCCAACTCTATGCCGCTTAAGATAAGAATGGTTCAAAGTTCAAAGTGTCAAGCTTGACATGCTCTTGACTGTACAATATTGTAAAAATTACCAGCAGGAGTAATGTCGAAATCTCCAGGCAAAATAGATGGATGATTGGCTACTTGTGTAGCAAGCATTCCCACAGAATCGTGAAGGGTGGCTATACTTCTCAATATGGGGCTTTCTAACAAGTTGATTAGCATATTCAAGTCATCATTGGTAGCAGCCTGCAAAATTGACTCATTATTAAGGTGTAGTATTGTGTTAAGCTAAAAAGATCAAGGATTCACTTCACAAATATCTTAAACAGTTAGTAAGTACGCAATATACGTAGCCGATATATATTTATAATAGTGTAACAGTAATAAAACAAAAGGCACATGAATAAATAATCATGCAAAGATTATGTAGAATAGTTACATACCTTCAATTTTGGATCATCGCTTTGATCCACTGCTGCTTTCACACTTTCCAACTGCTGCAGGGCATTGGAAATATTTACCCCTAGATGCATTGTGACAATATACTGGTTTATATCCCGGTAATTACATAAAATGGATGACTTTCCTATCTTTGAAAGACAAAACAACCACTATTTGTATTTGACGTAGGTAGGGATAAACATTACGATTCAATGTTTATGAAGATCGATTCAATTGCACACGATATAGCGATTTTTTAATCGATTAACTTCAATGCGATTTTTAAGCGAATCGTTTCAAAATTAAATCGAAACGAATCGTCTAGCTAGATCACATTCATAATTTAAACAAAAAAGTTTCTACTCCTTAATGATTTAGTCAAGTAAAGAAACGAAAAATATAGAGGAGGACAATGCTTTGGACATTAAGTTATACGACATAATTATTGAAATGTTTAGTCAAATGTAAAGGATTAACATAATTGAACAGAAAAAAATGTATTTTCAATATTATTATTATTTCAATTAAATCATGTAAGAAAGGTGTTTGATTATTACAAATTTGGAAACGATTTTTATGAAATCGGTTCAAAAGTTTACGATCGGATTCAGAGGCATATGATGCACTGTGATCTAAAAAATCGATTCAAAGCAAAAAATTGTCCATCCCTGTGACGGACTGCCGTCACTGACGTGAATGTCATTTTGGCATTAGTGTTGGGCAAGACATGAAATTAAAATGATTTTGAGGGAGTAACTCATTTGAAAAAATGAGGCGGTACAGTGTCCTACTTCAAATGAGGTAAGGTAGTAGTAAGATTGTTTGCACCTACTGCAATGACTCAACAGACAGGGAATATTAGGCACATTTTCAAAACTGGATGATTTCACGCAATTGGATGACTTAAATGTTATAATATAGTATAAAAAAAATGTTGATTTTATTTAGTAATATGGTAGTGTAAAGACAGAAGTCTTTTATCCCAGGAAATATCGACAAAATTAAAAACAACTCAAGTTGCCGTGATGAAGAAAAACAATGTATATTTTCTTAAGTCGTCGTGACAAGGAATTCTTCAAAAAGCTTAATTCAAAATTCGAAATAATCACGAAGATACATAGAAGGTGTATAAGTAAAAAGGTTTACCAACACTGCCCCTTACACGAGCAATCTTAATTAAGTAATAGAAACATGGTGCGAGAGTACAAATTACAATAATAGTTCGGTAACCTAAAGATTTTACAAACAGCTCATGCTTTGCCTTAGGCAAGGCTTTTGTAAACAGGTTTGCCTCTAACTCTGTTAAAGGCTTGTGCTCTAAACAGACTACTTTATCATCAACACATTCTTGAATGAAATGATGATAAACGTCTATGTGTTAAGTTCTCCTACCGTTTTGAGTGTGCTACGGTTGTCATTAAAAATTGTTATAGGTTCTGGTGGTGACAGGCTCCTGTCTTTAAGTTCAAATAAAAAATTTTGCCTCTTTTACAGAACTTCCAAGAGCATAGTATTCAGCTTCGGTGCTAGAATAAGCCACGTTTTGTTGTTTGTGACTGTACCAATTTACAATGCAAAAGCCAAACCTACTCAGAAACCCTGAATATGACTTTCGATCAGTCTTATCCCCCACCCAATCTGCGTCGGGTGAGACATCAACTTTATTACTACCTCTCCTAAAATTTAGTCCATAGCTAGTTGTTCCTGAAAGATACCGCAGTACACGTTTAGCTGCGAGCCAGTGCGATTCATTATAACAAGTGTTAACTGCCTCCGTGTCCGAACGGCTACCACGCCGGACTGCCACGCAGAGGTCCCAGGTTCGATTCCCGGGTCGGGAGAAATATTTGTATGGCCTACATTTATTTATCTCTTGAGTTTGGGTGTAATTTGTGGTTTTTTACGTGTGTGTCCATGGCACCCGTGACACAGGGTTTTCCCTAGTGCGGGGCTATGTTGAGTGTGTGCGTTATTATTATTATTATTATATTATATTATATTGGCTGATTTACTGCACGCAAATGCAAAATCTGGACGTGTGCAAACAGCGAGATACATTAAACTACCAATAAGTTCCTAATACGGAAAACGCGTATCGATTATTTCTGCTTTCGGCAGATTGAAATTAACTTCCATAGGAGTCGCTACTTTGTAACAATCTTCCATGCTAAACTTTTAGCTTTTAGCTTTACATATTCCGACTGTGTCAGCTTTAAAGTCCCTTGCTCCCGGTTCCTTTCAACCTTCATACCCAATGCTTGCTTTACTAAGCAATTTGATCTTGAAGTTGGAACTGAGCAACTTATATAGCAACTGAATATGAAGAAGTCATCAACATAAAGTGCTATAACGACCTTGTCTTTATAATAGACACATTTTTCAGCCTTGAGTTGCGTGTAGCCATTGGTAATTAAAATTTTAAGCACTTTTTCATTCCAGACTCTACTGGCTTGTTTAAGTCCATATAAACTCTTCTTGAGTAAATAAACTTTGTTCTGCCCCTCAATCTCAAATCCAGTAGGTTGCTCCATGTAAATGCATTCATTATGATTTCCGTTAAGGAATGCCGTACTTACATCTAAATGTTCGATGTCCATATTATTTTCAATTCCAATTGCAAATAATAAACGTAATGTACAATGTCTAACAACTGGTGCAAAAGTCTCTTCATAATCCACACCATATTGCTGAGTAAAACTTTTTGCAACTAAGCGAGCTTTAAATTTCTCAAAATTACCACTTGGATCAACTTTTTCTTTGAAATCCCATTTACATTTAATGACATTTCCATGTTTAAGTTGATCAATAAGTTCTCAGACTCCATGCGACAAAAGTGAATTATATTCTTCTTTCATAGCTTCTAACCAATATTTCGCTTTTTCACATTTTATAGCTTGATTATATGTTCTAGGTTCATTTCGTCCTGTAAACTCTAGTTCCGTGAAATAATTCACTTAATGATCTTTGAACCAAAGTGGAGGATGCTGATTTCGAACAGGCCTAGAATCATCAGTAATTTGAAAATTTGATGCATTCTGTAGTTCTAAGTCATTCTCTTACTGAATATTATTCAACAAAGATTCGGCTTCTCCGTGTTCATCAGATGAAACTATAGTTTGAACATTAGGTTCTTCAACGACTTCTAGAACTAAATTATTGCTAGACAAAACATCTGGTGTAGCATACTCGTCGTCGTCAGAATCATTGACATGTGCATCTAATGTGTTTACATTATTTATAGTAATATCAACAGTGTTAATTAAATCTTTAAAACTTTCATTATGCTTTGCAGATTTAAATTTAATACCTCTAACCGTTTCAATAAATTCAACAGAACGAGCTTTTATTATTTTATTGCCATCAACTGGATCACCAAGTCTGTAACCTTTAGTATTATCACAATATCCTAATGTGTCTTGGATTTATTTTCCTTTAATACATGGAACACATGGAGTCAAATATCCGTTTGAAAAATCAATACCGCGAGCTAAATGATCACGAAGAGTTAACATACCTCTTAAACTTAAATGTCCAAGGCGACGATGCCATAATTCCAAAGAATTCGATTTGGACATAAAAGCTTTACCTTCAGTGCTTATACTAAGCTCTTGGTCATTCGCAAATACCGAATAACGTCCCCGTTTATTATCAATTTTATAAATACCGTCCACATTAGTAGCTGTCAAATCACAGGAACCGGTCACGTACACATTGTCCTTCCTGAAAATATGACATTTATTAATATCAAATATTAATATATAGCCTTTAGTTGCGACTTTGCTAACAGACAAAAGATTGGCTACTACATTTGGCACATATAAGGTATCTTTAATAATTTTATTAATATTATTATCTAAAGTCAAATTAACGTCACCTATCTTAATCACCGACACTAAACATTTTATCATAGTTGGCAGTAGTAATTTCTTTAGAGGTTTAGGAGAATAATTAATAGACTAAATAAAATATCCAGTCTTTCCTATTAATCATATGACTAGAACAACCTGAATCTATAATCCAACGATGTTGATCACAGTTACTAACTTTTAAAGCAGTCTCAGTAGATAATCTAGATGAATTGGTACTTCCTGTATTTCAAGGCGAAGCCTCAGGTTTCTTTGAGTTCTTCTTCTTTTACAGCTTGGGACACTTTGGTTTAATGTGACCTTTCTGATGACAGTTGTGACAAATTGGAACAAACTTGTTTCTTGTCAACAAAATTTTTCTCATTGTGTTCCAAATTTGAATTTGAAGAATTTCTCTTGAATTCACTTTGAATTAGCTGGCACTTAACAAAATCTGAATCCAGTTTCGATGTAGTGGCTTCCATGGCCATTATTAAAGAGTCGAATTCAGCAGGTAACCCAATTAGCATCAATTCGGCTAATTTTTCGTCATCGACGTTGCAGCTGTTGCAGCTAGTTCTTGAGTAATGGAAACACTATTTCTTAAATAGTGATCCATAGAATTGTAGATTTCGTATTTAATTTGCGAAAGTTTTCTTTTTAAGAAAAGTCTCCGACTTATGCACATATGCGACATAGGCTGACTTTAGGTTTCTCCACGCATCTGCAGCTGTCTTTGCATTTCTTACATGTGGATAGCAAATGGGTTGTATATTCCAGCAAATTTTTGCGTATGCTTTCTGATTTTTTGAAGAATCAGCAGTCGCTTCTTCGGAACCAAATGCTAAATTCCATAGTCCATGGTCTATCAATAATAATTTCATTTTAATTTCCACGTACCATAATTAGAAACACTTTCCAGTTTTTCAATAGCCATGCTTGAACCGCTGCTAATAACAATGTTATTCGAATAAGAAATGTTTTGCGTCACTTTCGTAAAATTATATTTTCCGAACAAAATTAAAATTTATAATATCACACAACACTAAAATCCTAATAAAAAACACGTAAACTAAACTTGTCGAAATATTGTGAGAACATTGCCCATAACCAATGCAAACACAGAAGTCTTTTATCCCAGGAAATCTCGACAAAAATAAAAACAACTCAAGTTGCCGTGATGAAGAAAAACAATGCATATTTTCTTAAGTCGTCGTGACAAGGAACACTTCAAAAAGCTTAAATCAAAACTCGGTAGCAAAAAGGTTTACCAACAGGTAGTATTGTGACGGTGTGACCTCCTTATACCGTCATCCAACCTTTTTGTATCGCCTTTCTCCATTCGTATCGTATCGTTTTTTCTTCTTTTACTCATATTTAAATTTAAAATTGGTCCATTTTACCACGCATTCTGATTTTGTTTCTTTCTATCGTCACTCTCTGCGCGACCGCGGTAGCGAACATACCATTATTTATCTTTTTGAATCGTTTACTAGCTATATTTATACACTTTATATTTTAAAGATTATATTTGTTAAAACCGATTAAATAAATCGATTAAATATCTGTAAACTGGAATTTCAACGTTTGAATTGCTAAATTTACTAAATAAGATGTTGGAGCTGCGAGGCTGCGGAGGCTATTACTGCTATCCAGGCTACACACCATTACAATCCACAAAAACGTCCCCAGCACTAGCAGCACCTCCACACTGGCGCCCGAACTAATTTTAGAAGAAACCATGAAGAACACCAATAAATGAAGAACTAGACAGTGAATTTTTTTTAACAACAGTGAAATATTGTGAAAAGTGACGTTACATAATTCATTACACACTGCACATCGCCTACACACACCATAGTTCAGACAAGAGACGACTGCCGTTACATTCAGCTTGTTACAAATGTAATTGAACCCAGAGTTGGTGTACCAATAGCACTACAAGCACAGTCCTATCAAACACCAAACTATCCACAAAATCCTACGGTACACTTTCTTCGTATCTCGATATCTATTCATGGGTAGATTCACAAGTCGTTGAAACTTGGAGTTTAAACCTTCGGTTTTTCCAAGCGTAGACGATACTAACTTACAGCTTGTTTGGGAGAGTATCCCTACAAGTCACTGTTACTCCTCAACATTACAAACCACATAATTACATAAAAACATCTCATTGTAATATTTATAGTATTTCGTAAAATATTTGGTATATTTGACGTAATTCTTTTCAAAATTTATTCAAATTTTTGACTTACTGTCAAATTTATTTTTCTTGTAATAATGTCAAAATTTATTATTCACATTTTCTTCTTTTAAATAATTCAAAAGGTTTGCAAACGGAACTGCATATAAAACTCTTTTGTCATTTTTTCTTAATAGGATGGAACGATCAAACTCAGAAAAATATCTTAAAAAGTTACCACAAAAAACCAAGAGGAATAAAAAACATAACTAATTTTGTAAATATTCAGCACCATCATACTTTTTCGGTTTCATTCCGTCTTACTCTTTAAATAAGCCTTAGGTCACTATTACAATATATTCCTATTTTATTCCCCTAATTACTTCCTTTTAAACCTTTACAAGGTTCACACGTCTCTGACGTGCTGCTGTACCTCAGCGTACAGACCAGTGGGCATTGAACCACTTGTACATAGAGCATCATATCATTACTTTCACAATGTTGGCGGGTGGTGACCAACACAAATTTAAGCCTTACACCGTAGTGGGCGGCCTCACGAGAAACTCCCTTTAACTGTGGTTAGGGTTTTCCTCTATTCTGATAGGCTGGTATATGTGCGGGAATACGAAAGTTTCGTGAATGTAATATGATATGGGTACGAAAGGTTTTGTGAATGTAGTTTGAAAGCGGAAGTCGATCCAATGTATATAGCATTATTTATCATTCACATATCTAAATTTCTCACGGATCTTCAGTGAACCTCTATTTCTCTTAAATTATTTCTCTTAAATTAGCTACCTTCCCTTCTATTACAATAATCCTCCGCTATTATTTTTCTTGCTTTATTCCATCTTGCTATTCCTCTTACAAGTTCTTCTCTTAGGCGTTCTGGTGGATTGTAATGGTGTGTAGCCTGGATAGCAGTAATAGTCTCCGCAGCCTAGCAGCCTCCAACATCTTATTTAATAAATTTAGCAATTCAAACGTTGAAAGTCCAGTTTATAGATATTTAATCGGTTTTAACAAATACAATCTGTAAAATGTAAACTGTATAAATATAGCTAGTAAACGATTCAAAAAGATAAATAACGGTATGTTCGCTACCGCGGTCGCGCAGAGAGTGACGATGGAAACAAACAAAATCAAAATGCGAGGTAAAATAGAACAATTTTAAATTTAAATATGAGTAGAAGAAGAAAAAACGATACGATGCGAATGGATAGAGGCGATACAAAAAGGTGGGATGACGGTATAAGGAGGTGACACCGTCACAGTATGATCATATGATGTAAAATCAGCTAGAAAGCAGGCAGTGCAACTATTGCATTGTTGCATTTATTTAATTCGAAGCAGTGTGACATGAGTGAGGCTGTGCCATGAGGCTATGACATGAGGTGGGTATGTGACGTACGCCAGCGTCGCATTCGCTCAGGCAAATCCCGCGCTAATATACCGCCTGCAGGCTCTCCAAAATAGATTCATGCGCAACGCGACGGGTGCCCCGTGGTACCTACGCAACGCTAACCTCCATATAGATTTACGGCTCCCCACAATAGCCCAATTCATGAAACAGGCATCGAGGAAATACTTCGACTCTGCTCCTCACCACCCCAACCCCCTCGTGGTGGTTGCATCCTCTTACGACCCCCTCAGGGAACAACCCCACCGCGTACCTAGGACCCGTCGGCCAAGGGAAGTCCTCAACGACCCTGACGACCCTATCACTCTCGCCACTTTGAAGGCCAACCAGATCGCTAGTCAGTCCCGTCCCGCACGCACCAACCGTCCTCGTCGGCGAGGTCGTAGAGCCCCTCATTTTAGCACGTACACTGGTAGATTCTCTCCAACAGCACGCCCTTCTGGCGGAAGTCTCCAGTAGCGCCCTGAGCCGAGGTCCGTGCCCACTTGGGCGCACTCAGGCCCGCTACTTAGCTTTAAGTTTATTTTAGGGGTTATGAGCCTTCAGCTCGCCCTTTTTCTCCGGTGGCGCAGTAAAGGCCATCAGCGGCCAACTGCAAAATATCATTCAAAAAAAAAAGGTGAGACATTTTTATGACATGAGGTGTTGTAACAAACTAACCAAGCGAGTGGTACAAACGAGTTACCTCATGTATAAGTAACCTACACTATTTGGCATACTGCCATCTACAATTCTATGGAAATGGTTGTGTCTACGGTTGGTTATGACTATAATATTGCCATTTATGAATATATGAATATTGTTAAGAATATTAAAATATACTGAAAATACTAACTTGGGTAATGCTGTCATAATTACCTGGCTTAACATTTTACTGATTTTTTAAATCTCGTGCGTGACCACCAAATTGTCTTTTTTATATATCAATGTAAAATAGATGAAAATAAAAATTACTCAAACCGTCGATAAGCGAACGACCTGCAAAATTTTATTTGTAAATACTGGTAGCACCGGCAAAAAATGTAAAAAGTCTGAATACGTTATGCACAAAATACGAGAAATAACCTTACAAAAGCTACAAAAGTTAACACAAAAACAAGAGAAGATTGAAGTAAAATAAAATTGTGAGTACCAAATAATTGTTGGAAATGGCAGGCGCCCCAACTGATATAATTGATTTGACGAACGATTCTTTCACGCTCGCTGACCATTGCACCCTAGCGAATGTTGTGATTGAATTGGAAGATTCGATTAGGGATTCACCACAAAGAAATAGAACTAATATAGTGCAGAAAAGAAGAAGTTTAAACCTAAGAAACCTAAATAAGAACCTTGCACGGAAAGAGGTAAATATTTTAACTACTTGTCTGGTTTTAATTCGCCATTGTTTCTGTCTCCGAAGGTTTATTAAGTACTTCATTATAATTTGCAAGGTATCTTCTGCTACTATTTGCTCGCGACAGCATCTGCGTCAAATAATACTCAGCTGTTAAATACAGCCTACTGATTGTATTGAAGGGTAGTTTCGAAAAACCTATGTATTATTTCTAATATAAAGACCCAGTACTCCCACTTTTGGGGGTAATTTTCAAAAACAAATTTTATTTATTTATTTCCTTTGAAAGTATTCACACCAAGTGTTGCGTTTATAGACCCGGGGAATATGGTTTCCCAATATAAATTTTTAACTCGGTTTTTTTAGAGGTGGTTTAG